TGGCAGCATGTTGGAGTAGCTCTGTTGACTATATGTAAGTTTTGCCTTTTCTTGGACATTTTTTCTTCTGGTTTCTTGGGAAGAACAGTGTTTTTTTGGACATTTTACTTTTCTGTTTCTGGTGCTGTGAAGCTTGGAGGATTTTTACAGCTATTTTTTCACTTTTTCACTTTTTGAGCATTTGTTATGATATGTAACCATGGCAACAAGCTGGTTTACAATTGGGAGCAGCTGATTAACATTGGGAAGGCTGAAATAATACCTCAACTGAAGCCACAAATCCCAAATGAGCTAAAACGCAAGAAGCGTGGGTGCAGAGCGGGAGCAAAACGGAGACATAGAAAGAGGAAATTCAAACCATCTCTTCCATCGATCATAATGGGCAATGTGAGATCACTGGCCAACAAGATGAATGAACTCCAAGCCCTTTCAAGGACTCAGCCAGGGCATCGGCAATGTAGTGTTATGTTTCAGTGAGACGTGGCTGCAGGACCATATCCGCAATTCCAGTATCTCTCTGCCAGGATTCCTGACTGTACGAGCAGACAGAGATCTGAAGAGGAGCGGGAAAAGAAAAGGAGGTGGAGTGGCAGTGCTTGTCAACAACAGATGGTGCCATCCAGGTCATGTTTCAGTGAAATGTCGTCTCTGCAGCCTAGATGTTGAACTCTTGGCAGTAAGTTGTCGCCCATATTATTTGCCAAGAGAGTTCACCAGTTTTGTCTTGGCAACCGTTTATATTCCACCTTCAGCCATTGCTGAAAATGCATGTGATGCCATCAGTTCTGTTGTCGCTAAAGCCTGGTTCATGCTTCTCCTTCAGCTTCGCAAGGGACAGACACGCACGGATTGACGGAAGCGTTTTGATCTCATACTTCTCCGTCTCCTGGAGAGCGTTGCAAAGCAATTGCCCGGCAGGACAGCAGAGGGTGTAGCGCTGTTCTGTGGTATCCTGTCGTGTATCCGGTCCAAGATAGTGTGATTATATTGTGTTTTTTTGTATATAAGAGACTTTTTAACACGGACATATTTGTCTCTCATCCTCCTCCACCTCTTCATGCGCTCACCACCTCCAAACCCACGTTTCCTGTCATTTCTGTCCACAAATAAAACGCTTGCTGCACATCTTTTCACTCCTCCAGTCACGGGAAATTAAACGTTCATGTTTTTAGAGTTTTTTCGTGAGGTATTCTTCAAGCTTCTCCGTGTCTGTCGCTTGTTATCCTCGGCACTCTTTATGTTTTTGAGGGCGCAATGGCGGCGCTGTAAACAACAGCGGCGTCCTGACCAATCACAAGCTTGCGTTGTCCGTCTCGACTGATGGATGTTTAGAAAAGAGAGCTCGACTCCGTCCGTCCTTGCGGAGCTCTCCGGCAGGCCCGCAGGGACGTTGCGTGTCTCCGCACTGACGCAGACGGAGAAGCATGAATCAGGCTTAAGCTACAAACCCAGCACCCCAATGCATTTGTGGCTATATCTGGTGATTTTAATCATGCCTCGCTCTCTGCTACACTTCCAACATTTCAACAGTTTGTCAGCTGCTCCACCAGAGAAAACAAGACATTGGATTTGTGTTATGCAAATGTAAAGAATGCATACATGTCCAAAACAAGACCTCCTCTGGGACAATCAGATCACAATCTTGTTTTTCTCTGCTCAGAATACAAACCACTTGTTCAGAGGCAACCTGTGACAAGAAGAACTGTGAGAAAATAGTCACAGGATGCTGAAGAAGCCCTGCAGAGTTGTTTTGAGACCACAGACTGCATGACTCTCTGCCAAGGATATGAAGAGGACATCAATGCCATGACTGGATGTGTCACTGACTATATAAACTTCTGTGTGGACAATATCATACCCACCAGAACTGTGAGATGCTTCGCTAATAACAAACCCTGGATCACCAGTGAACTGAAGAATCTGCTAAATGAGAAAAAAAGAGCCTTCAAGGAGAGAGACAGTGAATTATTGAGGAGTATACAGAAACAACTGAAGATCAAGATCAGAGACAGCAAGGAGGCATACAGGAAGAAGCTGGAGAACATACTGCAGAGGAACAATATCAGAGATGTCTGGTCAGGGATGAAGAAGATCACAGGCTTCAAGCAGAAGAATGAATGCACAGATGGCAGCCTGGACACAGCCAATGAACTGAACAAGTTCTTCAATAGGTTCAGTTCAGGAACAAACCCAGCATCCTCCTCGCTTGTCCCCAGCCAATCAGACATCCCATCCTCCTCTGATCCAACATTTTCCTGTCACACGCCAGCTCTTTTGTCCTCTAACATAGTCATGGACTCTTCTGGTTCTATAAATCTGTCTTCAACCAAGTCAGGAGATGCTGCTGCCCCATTTACCTCCCCCTCCCACCTATCTGTCTCTAGAAGTCAGGTGAAGAGGCAGCTGGAGAGACTGAACAGGAACAAGGCTGCAGGTCCAGATGGTGTAAGCCCCAGGGTACTGAAGAACTGTGCGGAGCAGCTCTGTGGGATTCTGCAGCACCTCTTCAACCTCAGCCTGGCCCAGGAGAAGGTTCCAGTCCTGTGGAAGACATCCTGCCTTGTTCCAGTTCCAAAGAAAACTCGCCCATCAGTCAATGACGACTACAGACCGGTTGCCCTGACATCCCACATCATGAAGGTCCTGGAGAGACTCCTGTTGGTCCACATGAATAAGCAAACTAGAACATATCAGGACCCGCTGCAGTTTGCTTATCGCCATGGTGTTGGAGTTGAAGATGCCATCATCCAGCTGCTTCAACCAACCCACTGTCATCTGGACAAAGCAGGCAGCACTGTGAGGGTCATGTTCTTTGATTTCTCCAGTGTATTTAACACAATCCAGCCTGATGTACTTTCCCAGAAACCCCAGAAGACACAGGTGGGGGCCTCAACTATCACCTGGATTAAAGACTACCTGACAAACAGACCACAGTTTGTGAGGCTGAAGAACTGCACATCAAACCAGGTGATCAGTAACATTGGAGCACCACAGGGGACTGTACTCTCACCATTCCTTTTCACCCTGTACACCTCAGACTTCCAGTACAAATCAGAGACCTGTAATCTACAGAAATACTCAGATGACTCTGCAGTTGTCGGGTGTATCAGAGATGGACAGGAAGCTGAGTACAGAGAGCTGGTGGAGCGCTTTGTGGCATGGTGTGGAAACAATCATCTGACCTTGAACGTGAACAAAACAAAGGAGATGATTTTAGACTTCAGAAGAAACAGGGTGGAGTCAAACACTGTTTCCATCATGGGAGAAGAAGTGGAGGTGGTTGAGGAATACAAATACCTTGGAGTTCACCTGGACAACAGACTGGACTGGAGAAAGAACAGCGAAGCCGTTTACAAGAAGGGACACAGCAGACTGCACTTCTTGAGGACGCTCAGGTCCTTCAATGTCTGTAGCAAGATGCTGCAGATCTTCTACAAGTCTGTTGTTGAGAGTGTAATCTCTTCAGCCATCGTCTGTTGGGGTAGTAGCATCAGAAGCAGGGACCAGAAAAGGCTCAACAGCCTAATAAAAAAGACTGGTTCTGTTCTGGGGACGACTGTGGAACCGCTGGAGGAGATAATGCAAAGAAGCATTCTCCAGAGAATCAAGAAAATGATGGACAACCCTGAGCATTCTCTTCACAAGACTGTCCGACAACGGAAGTGTCTTCAGTCAGAGGCTTCTTCAGTTTCGCTGCAACACTGACCGCTACTGGAGATCCTTCCTGCCAACAGCCATTGTAATATACAATAACTCTTTGATGACTTGATTATTATTATTATTATTCTGAGCTACTACAGCAATCAATTTCCCTCTGGGATTAATAAAGTATTTTTGAATTGAATTGAATTTGAATTATCCATGCTTTTATTTCCTCTCGTTTAGATTATTGTAATTCTATCTTTACTTGTTTTAACAAATCAGATGTCAGTCGTCTCCAGTTGGTCCAGAACGCTGCAGCAAAGCTTTTAACAGGAACCAATAGAAGGGCTCACATAACACCGGTTTTATCTTCTTTACATTGGCTACCGGTCAAGTTTAGAATAGATTTTAAAATTTTTGTTTTGACTTTTAGAGCACTTAATGGACGAGCTCCACAATATTTATCAAACCTTTTAATCCCTCACTCTTCTGGCCGCACTCTACGGTCCTCAGGTCAAAACCTACTGAAGGTCCCTAAGACCAGATTTAAAACTAGAGGGGACCTGTCCTTTCAAGCTGTAGCTCCCAGACTTTGGAATGCCCTGCCCTTGTTTCTTCGTGTGGCCGACTGTTGATTCTTTTAAAAAGCAGCTGAAGACACTTTTATTTAGACAAGCTTTTGTGTAAGTTGACCTTGTGCTCCTATCCTGTTTTGCCTTTTTATGTATGTCGTGAAGCACTTTGTGATTTCATCTGTGAAAAGTGCTATATAAATAAAGTTTTACTTACTTACTTGTGTTAGGTATGGTCTGATCTTTCGTATGTTGTACAGCGCAAAGCGGCATGAACGAGCAACAGAGGCAACATGATCTTTAAAGGTCAGGTGTTCATCAATCACAACACCCAGATTTCAAACTGCCTTTGAAGGAACCAGAGATAGGAAGTCAGTTATTGTGCACCACTTCCCTTCCATGTGTAAGCAACATTCACCATGTAACCTCACGTTGTTTCATTTATGAAAGGCCTGTTGCCATATTTCAAAGGAACACCATCATTCCACAAACCACTCACCCCTCTGAGATTTCTGGAACTCATATCCGGCCGGAGTCATTATTGATTAAATGACTTCTTACTTTGTTTGGAGACTTTAATTCCTGGTGAGAATCAAACAGGAAATAACCTACAATGATGTACTTGTGTCAAAAAGTTTTAACAGAAATAGTAAAAACTGAATTCATCTTTTGGATTCAATAACTCAACCAGTTTCTTTTAAACCTCATTTATCATGGCTGCTTATTACTCTGGAGCCTGAGGTTAGAAGACATTATTCTGGTGAAAAAAGTCACTGTGTCCAGAAATACTACATAAAAAACTTTTATTCACACAATTTGATTTAATAAAAAGTTTCACATCACCGTGGTGACCCACAAAACCAACTTTTGACTGTAATACAAACAAATTAAGGTCTTCTAGGACCCAACGTTTTCTTATTTTTTTACTACAAGTCCAACTGTGTAGAACGTGGGTATGACAGAATAAGTGAAGTCCTTTCTATCTGAAGCAAGTTCATGTTGTTGTGAAGAGCTACGAGGTGACGGGTTATTGATCATAAAGGTCCTTCATCTCCTTCAGAATCTTGATGCTCTCACTGTATCTCAACTGGTTCTTATTGGAGCACTCCTTCCGCCTGAAAAACACGACTCATGGTGATAAATATAAACTATGCAGCATCACATTTTAGAACAAATTCTCTTTAAAAATTGTTTGTTTTTTACATAAACAAGTAGCTTTTAGTAACTGTGGGTGATGATGCACTTGCTTTTTTCTCTCATGAGTAAACACGTTTTAACGTTTGAGAAATGTGTGTGTGTGTGTGGGGGGGGGGGGGGGGGGGCTTGGTGTTGTGTTTGAAGATCGCGGACTAGGCTCTGAATGTGTGTGTGTGTGTGTGTGTGTGGGGGGGGGGGGGGCACCCCTTGCCGCTTGCGTACTCTGCGATGCTGAATGTGTGTGTGTGTGTGTGGGGGGGGGGGGGGGGAACCACCCCTGGCTAAATGTGAATATATTTCTGTGTAAACCAACAGCAGCTTAACTAATGCGTAGAGCTGTCAAAAATATAAATGTGTAGTTATATATAGTTACACATCTATCTACTACCACACATCAGTATTCAGCTACTGCTTTATTTTTGCATGTTATCTCCTGAGTGATACGGTGAATTCTGAGCAACAAAAGTTTTTATTAAATAAAAATTTTCCTAAGAACTTACTTCTGCCTTATCATTTTCCAGCGTTCCAAGTGGTCACTTATTAGGGATTCTGACACAGGAGCATCACTTGACTGTGAAAAGAGTAACCTTATTCACCATTTTTATACATCTGAAGATTTGTACAATTCTATTTCTCTCTCACACACACACACACACACACACACACACACACACACACACACACACACAAAACGAAGAGAAAAAAAATGTAACGTTCAAGCACCTTTGTAACGATGGGTTTTTCAATTTGTTGAATCCTGAGATTGATGGGTTCACCTGAAGGGCTAACTGGGCTGGGAGCAGGAGGGGGGAGTCGGTACACATTCTGACCTTTGCCGTTTATCATGTCTGTTACCTGGGGCAAGGATAGAACACAAATAACAGAGAGCTCAGGTATGATGGCTAAAGAGATGGTGCAATACTGCCATCTTTAGGGGACTTACTGGTAAAATCTCGACTCATTTCAAAATTCATAAATTTGTTTTAGGCAATGAAAAAACACACAGTTTGTAAGTTTCATTAATATATTACACTGCTTTTCAAACTCGATGCACTTAAAAACCATTAACTTTTCAAGGAAATTACACAAACATGCAGACTGACAATCACAAGTTAAATTTACAATTAAATAAAGTTCATAACTTGGTAAACAACAATTACAATAATAATAATAATTTAATTGTGAAGAGGGGTAGGAGACAAATATTATTTTCACACAAATTGTGTAAAATGAAACTTATTTTAAACAATTAAATTAGAAGAAATATTTTGTAAACTATACACACTTTTTCTCTTATGGTTGTTTTGCTTTCATTTCCTTTAAACAAAATTAAATCAATTAAATAATGATGACAGGAATTTGCAGCCTTACTTCTTCTTCCAACATGCTGTGTGGGGAGTTTGGGGAAGCTGTTGGCTCTCGAACAGAAGGGTTGTTTCTCATCCAGGCACGGCAAATCGGATATAAAGGGGTGCTGGTGTTAAACTGAGCCAAATCAACACTGCGATCAAACAACTTAATAACATAAGCATCTAGAACAAAGGCAAAGGAAACACACATCAGGGTAAATAATACTACCGTGTCATTTAATGGAATGTGAGTTGAGTTTACTTTGTTTATGCAGATTGGTTTCTGGTATGCCCTCATCCATCTCCTTCCGTTTCTTCCTTCGATGCTGTGGAAATCTTGCTGAAGGTCTGAAAATAAAATGAAAACAAACATGAGGACTTGCAAAAAGGCTTAAAAAACTGAAATATTTTCTGTACTAAATAACTGAATTCATATAACGATGTGTGCAGATAAAAAATTATGCTGCAATAAAAAAAACAAGAAAATCAAGTATGTGTATGAGGTATTTAGAATTGTATGAGGTATTTGAATAGACTTTACTGATCCCACAGTGAGGAAATTTACTTGTTAGGGCAGCACATACACACAGACATAGGAAAATATAATACAGGTAAACACACAAGAGTATTGGGCTATTACCATAACCTTCAGCAACAAAATAAATGCATAAAAACAGAATAAAATAGAAAATTCATAACTGTTTTCAAGGAGAAAAAGCATAAAAGACACATATAAATGTGCATCTCTGGGTATTGCACATTTATTGCGCATTTACAGAACATAGTACTGATTATTACCTCTTTCCAGCAGAAGATGGAGACAAATCCCTAGAGATAACAAGAGCATTCCATGATTGCGCTGAAACACTGTTACAGCTGTTTAAAAATAAAGTGTGAATCCTTCTTCATAATAAAAAGATAAAATCACAAAAAAACTAATCCATACTTGTGCAAGGAGTCCACTGATAATTTTCCTGGATCACCCTCATTTGGTTCTCTGATGAGAGTACAATTAAAAGCATTTAATCATTTGAAAGCATAGCTATGGTCAAGTGTGTTTTACTAACCTCTCATTTTCGCTCTTCTCTACAAGACCCTTTAACACAGCATCCAACTTGCTGCGTGCAGCGGTGTTCTCTGCATCTAGGTAACATAAAAAGCAGATCGATTTAGAGCTAGGTCTCTCGTTTTTGGGCTCTAATGTTATGTATATTGTATCTTTAAAGCAAGCACAAATAGCGAACGAAATTATAACCAATGTTATATTGTGGGTATATCTCACCTAGCCGTTCAGTCTTTATCTTGATGTGGTGCATTGTCTTCTTTTCAGCACTTTTGTAACCTTTTTTAATGTTGAAATTAATTCTTGTTTGATCTCTAACAAAGGGTCCTGGTATCCTGGCTGCAACGGCTGTTTGCCAACAGCACCATTAGCTGACTTACATAGCAGCGCTTAACCAACTGATTATTCGTAAAAGAAAAAGTGAAGAAATTCTATGGCAAAAATATTATTTTATCCTAATGATTTAGACAAAACAACTTTCAATAATTTGCTTCAAATAGTACAGACAACTGGTTTTATTATTCGAACTGTGGAAGGTATTAGCTCAGCTATAGTTGCTAATGTAGCTTCAGCTTGCTTCTACAAACTTCCGCGTAACAGGTGTTACCCCGAAATGTGTTCCCTGGTTGAAAACCGTTCCCACTTGGTAGTGTTTTAGCCATCTCCCGGTAAAATGTGTACTTTTTTCCGAGATACATAATAAAAACACACGGGATGTCTATTTTATGAATTAGTGAGTCAGTTTTATGAGTGGCGTAACCGCGAGCTTATGTCTCAACTAAACACAGAGTTTTTCCCCTCCTGCCCTGATGATTTGTTTGCCGTGCTGAAATGCACAAAAATAACATATTAGATTACTAAGATATTATCTGGCTATTTTCTTAAAATAACGTTGCTTTAAAGACCAGAGATTAAATATAAAAATGAGTGACGCAGGGAAAGAAAACACTTCCGGCGGGGAACACATCTTGATGTAACACCCGAATAGCTGATTGGTGCTTGTTCAAACCACTGTGATTGGACAAATGACATGTGCGCCATTTTAGCGAGGATTTTATTGGCTGAGTGGTGTGGCAAACACCAAAAAAGCGTGACGCTTTTGTGTTTTGTCACCCTTTTTATAGTTTTATAAACTTAGGAAATCTGAGTCTGTAGTAGATGCGGCTGCGTGTAGCTGTTTTAATTTCCTAACTTAAAGGTGATTTGTAGCGTTGGAGTCCATGGTAACTCACGACGCCTAGTGAGAACACTAGGGTTAAAACAAGGAAGAGAACATTTTCCGTTCTTCAATAGTTATGAAATCCAGGTAAGATCCAACAAGCTCCTTTTTATACCACCATAAACAATAGTTTTATCTCTAATGGTTGTTTTTATAGTGGATCTGTGTTTACAAGGAAGAATCCCTTCACACCTGCATCCTCTGTGAGAAGAGCTCATCATCCATCCCGCAAGCAATCCCTGCCAAAGACAGATGTATGTCAGCTTTGCCAACATTTCTTACCTTTACTCATGTTTGTGTTTTTTAGTCCAGCATTTGGGACGTGATTTATTTTATTCTAGTATTATTATTATTATTATTATTTTGCTCTTTGCAGAGTCCTGTGCATCCCAGCCAGAGCTCTAGGAAACAGTGTCACTCCCAGAATGGAGGAAGCCAACAGCTACAGGAGAGTCACGATGGTGGAGATGTTTTTACAGAAATCTGGCCCACCACTGACTACAGGTCCTCTCCTGAAATGCTGGCGTGCGATCTGCCTGCCAGACCAGAGACATCAACAGTTTCCTCAGGAGTTCAGGATGATTCCGTGATGGCAAAGTAAATCTGCTGGTGTTTTTTCACCGTAGAGACGATTGAATTTGTGGGCCTCACAAAGCCATGACGTGTTTTTGTTACAGACACATCGAGCGCTTTGGCCACAGTCAGCCTCAGAAACGGCAGCAGGTGGCTGGAGAAGAGCAGATGCCGTTTGGGTGGATGTTTAACTCATCAGTCCACAGTTCAACTCCTACTAAAGCATCAAACAGTGGTATTATTTTTAACTTCTGCTGTGTTTAGTCACACGACACAGTAAATATTACAAGCTCGTGGGTTGTGTAAAATTTCTGTGACAAACTTTCCGCTGGATCCTTTCCCATGCCCGAACGTGTCCTCCCTCTGAAAGACGGCAGCCCAGCTGGACCGCATCATGGTGACAGATCCATCAGCGTGAGTTCACTGGGATCCTCCTTGACCTGTTGTGTTCTTTCCACTCTGTGTTGGTGACTTGTTTGTGAAATGTTTTATAAATAAATGTGTTTAGTTTTTGAATAATCATAAAAGAAAAATTGTGTAGGCTATAAGTTTACAGCGTGTCCTAGTTTATGCTAACTTCATCTGAATGCCGGAGACAGTTTGTGTCCATGGAAGAACCTTGTGGACCTCTGTCTTTTGGTTTTTCTACTTTAGCTTTTGTCTGACTCGTCTCAGGGGGTGTTTGATGACACAGAAATACTACGACTTCAGGAGAAGGCCAGAACACTTCTGCTGAGAGGGTATAAAGATCACTAGGAGACATCATTGTTCCGTCCTCCTTGAGTTGAAATGAACCCGTGATCTTGTGATGAACAGTGCTCAGAGCGATGGATCTGTTCCTGTCAGCTCTGACGGTCTGGGATGCTCAGATGTTTCCTCTCCAGTTACCGCTGACGAGCCGGTGCGACGACCTTTGATGAAACCTTTTGCTGGTGAGCTGAGTGTTGAAGATCCAACTTCTTTCTGTTTCAGAAGCTAAGATCATAACAAGCGTATTTATGTGTTCACAGTCAGCTCAGACTCCGTTCATGCTGCATCCTCCCAGAAATCTACCGTCCATGTTTTGGGACCTCCCACTCGTCCCGAGGAGGACATTTTGTTCCAGTGGCGTTTACGGAGAAAAATGGAGCAAGCCAGAGATCGGTCCTGGTTCATCCCACGCTCCAATCTTCAAGACCCTGCCTTCAACTGGCAGGCTCCCACTTTAATCCAGCCTACAACCAGTGGACAGCCTCACACGGTTGGAATAAAATCCTTTGAGTTGTAGTCTTTGTTACTCTGTGGCATGACTTTTCTTCTTCTTCTCTCAGCGTCTCCAGTTTCCTCAGAGAGATGCTCCTCCACACATCCCTGCTCCCCAATCTGAAATCACCAACGTCCACAGACAGAGGGACCCAGATTCAAGTCCTCTACCGATCCCGTCTGTTGTCATCTCCACCTCTCCCCCATCTCAACCCCACGTTCCTGCCCACAGGCATCTGCTCTGCGACATCCTTCCCTGCCCCATCCACTCATCCCATGCTCAAGAGAAGCTAAACATGCCCCAAAGATTGGATGAACCTCAAACTAAAGTCATTCATAAAGAAGTCCAAGTCCCTGAAAGGTCGTCGCGTGGAGAAAACGGGAGCTCCTCACCACACGTGTCACCTGGAACTGTAGAGGGAGAAGCACGCTGGCCCCAAAAAGTTTCTGAGAAGAGCAAAAGTTCAAGGGAGGCCGATAGGAAGCAGAGGAAAGCATCAAGGTGCTGAAGCCTGAAGTGTAGTTTAATCCAGTTTTACCTAAACGTAACGTCTTTCTGGATGTTTCTGTGTTACCAGGGCTTCCTTACATCACAGATGTTCAGAGAAAGTCACACCGCTGAGAGAGCAGCATCAACAGGAAGGAAGTCGAGAGGTTTCACGTGAAAACGGAGATCCTGAAGCTCTTCCCTCTCCTGTCCACGCTGCATTAGGACAGGTCAGAGTGGATTAGATGCACATTTTCCTCACTTCCACCTGCTTAGAGGCCGTTTTAGATCAACCCACCAGCTGAAAACCATGATCGAACTTGTTCTCTTTTGTGTGGAACAGGCAGTCTCAGAAGTTTTGTTTCCTGTGGCCGATTCATCTCCAGCGCAGAAGATCCGAGTGTCTCTGCCTCACACGGTTCCCACTGCCTCGCACTCCCCTCCTCCTTCAGGAGCTGCACAGAACTCTCTAGAGGTCATTTCCCAGCTTCTTCAAGAGGCTGAAGGTGAGTTCTGACCTCTGACCTAGAAAATACACCCTGGCTCTGTTTTTCTGCAGCATCGCTGCTCTTCCTGACTTTGATGGCAAAGTAGAGCCTCTCAAAACAAACGAGGAGGACTTTTTTAGTTTGAGGTCATTGGGTATGGTTGATCTTTGCTCCTGTGCTGCTTTAGGTTTTGTTCCTTTTTAATCTCAGAACAACAACTTTATTGTTGTCACTTCTATTCTTTTCCCTTTGGAACTTTAATCTTGACCCTGGAGTAGAAACAAACCTCCTTCCTCAGCCCCAGTATGCTGTCATATTTAAATTATCCAGGTTATTTAGATGAAGTTACACTAAAGTGACTCTGGATAAGCGTCTACATGTATGCTATAATAACGTATGAACTCCAAGATATGAATGAATCCTTCAGCCAGCCCTAAACTGTGATATACAGTGTATTTCTCTGCTGCCTGATGCGTCGTCCAAGCTAAAACTTGTTGTCGGGGTTTAATGTGAGCACTCTTTTTACTTTAGTGCTGTGTTTCAGATTCGGATGAACACGAGTTTGAAGATGATCCTCTGTTAAAAGTCCTTCGCCAGCAGAGAAAATGGGTCAGAGACCAGATCGGGTAAATCTGTATTATTATTAAAAGTCTTTTAATTGTACATTTGCTTAAAAATCATCTACAAAATGGTGTTTTTCTTTTCTCTCTTAGTGAGGTGGACCTGATGCTCGGTGAACTCCCGCAGGAGCAACATCTCACTTAAACACTTTTTTATTCCCATTTTATAAAGAAATAAAGTTTATTTATGTTGGGTTTTCACAATAATACGTTAGAAAATGTCTGTTCAATGATCACAATACAGTGTTCATACAAGTTGCACCAAAAATAACTTCAACTACAAACAGAATATTTACAGACTGGTGAGTAACGGCCGAGCAGCTGGGAAAAGGCAGCGGCGCCGGCGAGGACAGCGAGACCTGGGCACACGTGTTGTGTTGATGGGATCAGAACAGCCTGATGTGTGCATGTGTACGTTTCTGTGGTTAAAACAGCATTAAGTCAGATCGGGTGCTGCTAGTTCGCAGCATTGGAGCAGATATGACAAGTCGGCCATCCGGGGAGACGGCCGACTCCAGAGCCATGACGTCCACTCCCTTTGGGATTCTGTAGCGACGGCTGAACTGCAGAGTCGTAAAACCTGGACCGTCCTAACAAAAGAAGATCATTCTTACTCAACAATCTACAAATACGGATCGTGATCCTTGCAGCATACAAACCTTTTTCTCTTTGTGTTTTCCTTGCACTTCCACAAAATCTCCCACCACTTTGACCAGAAGGTCTTTGGGGTTGAACTGTTTCACATCAACTTGAACTGTGAATCCACCGTCGTCACAGCAGACCTGTCAGCAGAGGTCAGAGGGATGTACACATCCCAACTATTACGTTTGCCCTGCTTGAGCAGGAGCAAGTTAAAGTTGTAAAGACCTACCTCTGCTGAGCTGGCGTTGTCAGTATCTGGGATTAGAAACGTTGGAGACCAGTTGTAGAAACCTCGAGTTCCATTCAGGCAAGGAACAAGAGGTGGTAAAACCTTCTCCCATGGGATGCCAGCAGTGGACATGGTGGGTGGCACAATAAAGTCCATTTCCAAAAGCAGGAAAACAACAAACGGAGTGTTCAGAGTGCAGCCGAGGCTCTGAGTCGGGTGGCTCCTGTCTGCTGGAAGAGGACAGCTCCTGGTCTTTAAATGCTTTCTGTTCCCGCTCCCCGCTCCTCCTGAATGAGGCACAGGGAATGTTGGGAATGATTTCACCCCCCCCCCCCCCCCCCCCCCCCCCCAGTGGCTGTCAGTCTGTTTTTAACTGGAGTTACATAATGAGTGGGTAATTCACCTTGCCTCTGTCAGGTCAGCCTGAGACCCCTCGGGTGTTCTGGCACGTGCAGATGAGAGGTTTAGGGGATGGGTGACACAGCTGTTCTAGGATTAGCGTGTTTATAATCCACGTCGTGCAGTTGTTCTTTTCATTATTGGTCGAAGACACAATATGAGTGATTACTTGTGCAATTATCAGAGCTGTTACAGGCTGGTTGTCATGGAAGGTCTTTCCAAAAATAAGTTCGACTGTCTGCCGTCCGTGAGCGGTCTCTAGGCAGAGCTCTCCATGTCAGCATGTGCTGTAGGGCTGGGTGGAAATGTAACACACTTACAGAGAGTTAAATAAATCATTTGCATCAAATGAATTTATAAAATCAAACTTAAAACATTTCAAGTTAAATCTGCATATTGGAAGTCCAGTCTGAATATTTAAAGTCTAATCAAGTGTAAATCAGTGTTAACCCAAATTCACTGTAGCCTCAAAATAAAAACGCGTTGGACTTTTCCCATAGTCCCTTCGATGGTACAATAGTGAGTTTTAGAACCATGAATCATTTGCGGAGAACCCAAATAGGAACATTGGTGATAGATCCGTGGTTAAAATGATCTCACCATCAGTGGGACACTTATCGTAGACGATATCCTCACCTCACTTCCATCTTGGTTTGTTTTCGTTTAATTTCAGTCTGAATCTGCATGTTATTTAAACATTTACTTCAAATCCACATTTATATTTGGATGTCAGCTTTTAAATGTAACTTTAAATCTAAATAATTTAAAAATGGTTTGATTTTGTTAAACATTGACTGGGTTCCTGATGTAAAATAGAATTTCAGTAATTAACAGCACCCTGGATGGTCTCCTGCCTTGTGAAAAGCATGCTGCCGGTCTGATACGTCCTGTCCTGCACTGTGTGCATGTAGCAGGTATGTGCACATGTCTCCCGTTAGCAATGCTCAACCTGTCACTTTAGCTGCAGCAGGGACTAAAACTGGCACTGATCGTGTTATGACTCACACAGGATGAGAAGGAACAGCAGACGTTTGAAGGGATTACGTTATTGGGTTTCACAACAGGCGCCAGCGGTTGTCTGGGCTTTATGAAACAAGGATCAGCAAGGAATTTACATGATGGAAATAGATTAGATCAGTTTCCAAAAACAAATTACACACAAATTATACATACATATATACACGTGTGTGTGTGTGTGTGTGTGTAAGACTTAAGACTAGACATTTGTTTTCATAGATCAAAAGATGAAGCCTTTTTATTCCTCAGCTGCAAGTTAAGAGTTTAGCATCTACAATCACACGATCATCTTTCAATTTAAAGTAAAAAAAGCAAGGGTAGTGGATTTCTTTTAACAAATTTGAATGTGCATCATCAAAATCACAAACCCAAACTCTATAGACAAAGATGCCTTGAGGGGAATAATATACAACAAAACATCAATGTGCAGTAAAGCTTTATGGACGTGGGATTACAAAGAGACCAACATCGTTCACTCAGTTAGAAGCAGCACTATTTGGTCCATGACAGTGGACCACAAGTTATGGGTAAAGACATGTCTTTTAGGAACATCTTAAGGTGTTCCCAGTGGAATGGTAAAAGATAGGTAATCCCCCACTGCCCCCCACTGTGCTCTGAAGTGCTGGAAAATGGTTATCCATGTCGTCAGAACTGTGAACCAAAACAACAGCCCCAGCGCTGATCGCTTTACATCTAGAAAAACAGAAAATTAAGCAAATGTTAGATGTGGCTTAAACAAGACTGAGTTACCCAACAGAACATTGCATTTAAGCAAACTTACAGCAAGTATTAGGAAAAGGTACATTTCAATTGTGCTGTATTTGCACAAAACTCATATGTACTCACATGTTTTCATTTGTGTCTGTTCAGTGTAGGCTGGCTTCCTAAAGGCTTCTCTAAAAAACCAAACAACATTCACGAGCCACAAAAATGGAAGACAAGCAAAACCACCTGGAAAATATAACAAAAACACGTTATCAAAGACATCCAACGCACTAATTATTTTCATTAATTTCTCGTTCACAAAACCACCACTCATGTTCCCCATAGCACCCTCTGGAGGCAGGCGTTGCAGATTTGAGCCTTAACTCCACACATGTGTTTCATGAGCATTTTTTAACTCAGAAGTTCCCCTGAAGGACTTAGTTGTTCGTCCTTTTATCAGAACTTATTTTGAGCCTGAGAGGGTTAAAAATAACTGCGTTGATTTAATGAGTATTCTCACATAGGTAATACTTTCTGCAGAGGCCAAGCTTCTCCTCGTTGGGAAGTCGTTCCAGGTTCATTGTTAAGTTGCAGGAGCCCTGCTGCTGTAAACCAACAGATGCAGACACAGTGGGACCTTTAGCCAACTATGCAAAATTTGGATATAATATGATTTACTTCAAACGCATTTTCTATTTTAATGTGAAAATTACTAAGCGAATTACTAATATGCGAAGTACGTTTATGAATACTGTTCAAAACAAAAGCATGCAATGCGGCAGTCTCTTCATTAGAATGACTAACCAACTTGATCAGGTGACTCTAAATCTGCCTCAGGCTAACGTTAGCATTTAGCTTAGCAATACAACGGAGTTGTTCCTCCTACATCTAGCAATGACAAACAGAAAGTCTCGTAGTCTAATCCTATTACATGTTTTAACCGAAAGTCAATATACTGAACATTAGTGCGATAACACGTCTCTTACTTTTACTGGACCACACAAGAAAAGCAAAAATAGTCGATTAACAATCGTTGCCTTCTAATTGTACACTAATCCTTCCCTTTTTTCTTCGTCATCCTTGTCTTTGTTTTTGCTAGCACACGCTATCCTAAACTCTATACTGCCACCTAGTGGACAGAGCAAGACAGCAGACAAAGTAGCAGAAAATAATGTTTCTACACATTTAAAAATATGTTATTAAAATAAATGAAATAATTTAAGAGAAGTGTACGCAAATTAGGTGTTTTTAAATAGTTATCCGAATATGAAAATTTTAATTAATGTGTACAATATTTAGGATAAATTATGACCATGTTATTTCTACAGTTATCATGTAAAATTGTTATTAGTGTTATCATGTAAAATTGTTATTTGTGTTAAGGAATATGCCAACATGATTAACAGCCACTTCCGACAACCTTGTGACCTTTCACCGAGAGAACTCACTTTCCCATGGACCACCGCGGCTCCCCCCTCCCATCTCGCGCCTTCCCTCTTGTCTCCCCTCAAACTGCTAGCCGACGGTGTGTTGTTGTAGAAGCAATGATGGCGGCAGCGGGATGCGGATCAGCAACCGCGGCTGCCGTAGGAGGCCAGAGTGGAACCGCTACAGCCAGAGGTCGTTTCCCCGGTCGGCCTTGGTCTTCGCGCAGTCGTTTGCGTTCTGAAAAGCGTTGGCAGCTCGGACGATCAAACTCAGAAGCTGATGATGTGACTACCGTAGGGCCAAGGCCCGCAAACCTGGCTGTTTCGTTAAACGAAGACCAGTCTCACTTGCGCCTACTTGGAATAGAGGCAAGCCACAAGATCCTTGGCCAGGCTGGATATAGCTCTAGTGGGAGTGAGGAGGTAAGGTGCCACAATGTACCAGGAGTTAGCATATTTATATTTATTATTATGACATTTTATGTTATCCTACATATACACGAATGAGTGCTCTACGCGGCAGTGTGACTAGTGCCATGGAGAAACGTCAACATCCTATCGCCAGGCTAGCGTTAGCTTCACATGTTAATCAGCGTTAGCGCACTTGAGCTTACTATTACATTTAATAAAGAGTCGTAACGAAACGTCACTTCAACCACACAGTAAAGCTGCATTAAGTGAAGTTAGTACTGTGCTTTTAGTTGCTATTAAATCCCTTAAATATTTAAAGCTGATACGTAGAATACGCTTGCATTTTTCTCTTTTATTAAGCACAAAAAGCACGAAAACCAAATTGTAAACATGCGCCGCAATTATTTCGGCCCACTCGTTTTCGGGCCAGCGTATCAGCTAGCCTGCTGGTAGCCAACACAAAGAGGGGAAAGGCTCCAGACTGCACTAGCGGCTAGCTGCTCTGCTTTTTATACGTTGTCGCTTGTCTGTCTAAAATTAGCTTCATTACAATGCATCTGATAGTTGCTTTTTAATTAAGTTCACGTAAGAATTTATGTAAGCTTTTATTATCTACTTTTGAAGCTCATTTGCAGTTAGAATGAGATCATGCTTTCGCTAGCTGTTAGCTTGTGTTAGCAAACACGACATAGGTTTAAATGGTGCTGCAGAAGCTAGTTGTATACACTAAAATTGTAAATGTCACACGCACTCAGTAGTGCCTGGCTAATACTTACTATTGGTTCCGTGTGCGGTTTGAGGTCCGAGTTTCTAGTAGGAGGAAGATGAAAAGTGTTGAGGGAACTGCAGATGAGTACACACGTATATTTCTCTATAGCTACAGCAGATCATGCATGGGATGGCAGACCATCTTTACTAGACATAGGTATTGATCAGTAAATGTATTATTACTACTACTACTACTGACCACTTTTAGGTTATTATGGATGACTTTATACTAAACAGACACGTTTCATTGCACAGCCTGTCATAGAGTGATAACTATTGGCTTATTCAGGTGTGCTGACAAGAAAAGTCATCAGATATCAAATATCTCATCTGCATATTTGTGAATTTCCTTTTTCTGTTTCACACTTCTTAACCTCCACCACTCACACTGCCACAATACAAATTTTGCACACATTTTAAGTGAGTTTTTTTAACTAAAAGATAAACCAACTCAGATCAGTTATTAATACAAGTCAATCAATCAAAGCTTTATTTATAAAGTGCCTTGCGCAACCCTGTCAGGAAGCCCAAGGCGCTGAACATGGTACAGTAGAAGTACAAATATAGAGAATAAATAAAAAATAAAAGCAATTCAAATTACAGAATACAAATTACAAAAAAAGGTGAAACATTCTAGTACAGGACAGATGGGTAAAACAAGGGATAGAGTGAACCAATGAAAACTGTGAAAGAAATTCAACGTAAAAGAGGGCTGAATCAAACATGTTCAGGAAACGCCAAGCGGAGGAGGTGGGTTTTTAGGCGACTCTTAAAGACTGGCAGAGATGGGGACAGCCTAACTGAGGGTGGCAACTGGTTCCAGAGTGACGGCGCTAGGACTGAGAAAGCCCGGCCCCCGCGAGTACGACACCTAGAACGAGGGACAGCGAGCAGGCCTTGGTCAGAGGAGCGCAGAGCGCGTGATGGGGAATGTTTGTTCAGGAGTGAGGCTAGATAGGGAGGACCACCACCCTGGAAGAAATTGTAAACAAAGACAAGGATTTTGAATTGTGCACGATAGCAAACCGGAAGCCAGTGCAGGGAGGCCAGAACCGGACTGATGTGGTCCCGTTTCCTGGTCCCAGTCAGGAACCTGGCTGCGCTGTTCTGCACAACCTGTAGCGACGCAGTGATGACTGACACAAACCTGCATATAGAGAGCTGCAGTAATCAAGCCTAGAAATTACAAATGCATGCAGTACCCGCTCCAGGTGGGCTCTCGACAGCATAGGCTTGATTTTTGCTAGGCGTCTCAGGTGAAAGAAACTGGACCGGATCACTGAGTTGATGTGAGCATCAAATTTAAGTCCAGCATCAATTTTTACCCCCAAACTGGTAACAACTGGTTTTGAGAAGGGAGAAAGAGGGCCAAGATCAACATAACAACCCACATTCCTGCTGTTGGGGTGAAAAACAATGAGTTCTGTCTTTCCCTCATTCAGATGCAAAACGTTGGCCATTAGCCAAGACTTCACCTCGTTAATACAGGACACAAAGGACTGGATAGAGTGACCTTTCTCCTGACACAATGGAGAGTAAATCTGGCAATCGTCAGCATAGAGATGGAATGATAGGCCATGTTTACGAAAGATTGACCCCAGAGGTAGCAGATAAATGGCAAACAAAAGAGGGCCAAGGATCGATCCCTGCGGGACCCCCCAGCGGAGCCCCTCCCAAGAAGAAAAAACATCACCCAGTTTAACGTAGAATGTCCTGTTGTGGAGATACGATCTAAACCAATCCAGAGCAGACCCCTTGATCCCAACCCATCGTTCCAAGCGATCGAGTAGAATCGCGTGGTCAACCGTGTCGAAGGCTGCTGTCAGGTCTAACAACAGAAGCACCACAGATGTACCCTGATCTAGTGATAGATAGATATCATTTAGGACCCACAGTAGAGCTGACTCTGTGCTATGGCCAGACCTGAACCCTGATTGGAAAACCTCAAACAGATCAGAGTCAGCTAAATGTGAGATCAGCTGCTGATAAACGACTTTCTCAAGCAGTTTAGATGTAAAGGGCAGGGTAGAGATAGGCCTGTAATTTTCGATCACAGAGACATCAGCACCAGGTTTCTTCAGGGTCGACCGGATAACTGCTGCTTTCAAAGCAGCTGGGACAACACCTGTGCTGAGGCTCCCATTGATAATCTGACCAAGTGAACGGCCAAGGCACGGAAAGGCAGCCTTCCAGAGACGAGGCAGCAGAACATCAAGTGGAGAGTCAGATGGCTTCTGCCTCGCAACAAGCTTACTCAGCTCAGAGTATGAAACGGTATTGAGGGAGCTCAGGGTGGGTGGTGATGGAGGAACTGGAACAGTGTCAATAAAGTTACCGGAAATATCTGCTCTAATGCCCGATACTTTATGAACAAAGAATCTGTGAAAATCTTCAGAGTTTCCAGCAGCTGTAGGAGACATGGAGCTGGGCTCCTGATACACCAGAACAGAGTTTAGTGTTTTGTAGAGAATCTTGGGATTCTCTACAAAAGTGTATAGTTGATCTTATTACCAAAGAGCAGGAAAGCATACTGTTGCTCTTGCTTTTTGTATCCCCGTCATTATCACCAGAGCTGTAGTGACCGACTTTTGTACCTTCAAAGAGTAATTTAAAATTAGATCATCACATTTAGCTTTAACAACACACTCTGCAGCTGTGCAGATCACACCTGGGACAAAAGTTGTGCAGAGTAAAATTGGCGTTTGTTGCCAATTTTAACTTCCGTAGGTTAAAAGATTATTCATAATTTTCGTTTTAACAATTTAATGCAGCATATTCATTGGAAATCTTCTGAGGTAACAACATTCTTGATCAATAATAATCTGTACTGAAGTTAATTTCAAACTCTTAACAATGAAAAACCTGCATTAAAAAAGCTAATTTTTTATTTCCTCAAGTTATTCATTTGGTTGTCATTTTTGTTATCAAGCATATGCCTTATTCATTGCAACCTAAATAACATGAATGAAGAGCCCACAGTGCCTCTGATCAACTAACAAAGATTTGAACAATGTTTTTATTTTCCATTTTCTTTTATTGTGCATTATTACCCACAGTCCATTGCACTTTGGCACATAACAGGCACAGTTAGATTAGGAAAGAAAAGTGTTCCTCCAAAAATGTTACTTTTCTGTTGCAGCTATAATTTTATTCTCATGGTTCTGCTAAACAACTCCTGACCTTTTGTTTTTTTTGGTCCTCCCAAGGGTGATGATTTCAAAGGATTTGAATCTGACAGAAAACGTTTGCAAGAACCCACGATGTCTCACCAAAATTCTTCCAAAGGTAAAGAAGCTGTAATTTTATCACAGGAGATATTTAATGAGACGCTCTAGTAAGATCCGAGTTAAACGTTGGTTTATCCATGGAAATACCTTTAAACAAATCTAAATTCATTCCACTTTTGTATTTGGTGTAATAAACTTTGAAGTAGACGTTTGATTTTATGTCGTGTGTTTTTTAGGTGATGTTCTCAAGACAAAATCTAAACGAAGAATTGAGAAGCTGCCACAGAAAACCCCAGCAAAAGATGCAGCTATCCCACCTGTTCCTGTTAAAGCTGTGGAGGACAACGCAGCCGTGGACGCAAAGCCAGCAAAGGATTTGAAGAAAAATTTGAAAGGAAAAAACACTATGGACCGGCAGTCCACTAAAAGCAGAGCTCCTGCAGCGGCGCCGAGGATTACGATAAAGTTAGTGGCCAAAAAGAAAACGGTAAACGAGCCTCAGAAAAGATCAGTGAAGACGCTGAAGACGAAAGAAGCGCAGGACCGACCCGACGTTAAAGACATTCAGGACGACCAGATTTTAAGCGCACACATTAAAGTAAAAACCGAAACATTTGTGGAGGAACAAGGCTCCGAGGATAAAGGAGCAAGAAGCATACCTACAAGGAGGCGTGGGAGATCTGCCATGAAGGAAGCAGAACCTGTAAGCCAGACTACTGCCAAAGTTGTGGTTGGTGACCAAAAATCAAAAGAGAAAGAAGTGGCTGACACGGGAAAGGACATCGAGCCCGTGGAGCCCAAACCGAGAGCAAAGGAAGTAACGAAGAAAGCAGCGGCACCTCGGGTTTCTGCCGCTAAACAAGTAACTCGTCGGAGCAGCAGAGTTACTAACCCAGCCTCTAAAAAGGCCACGGGCGGTGTGTCTGAAACTGACAGCTCCAATAAAACCACTCCTGCTCTGACTGTGCCCAAGTCAGAGCTTTCAGACATTGTCGAGGCTAAACCTCCAGCTGCTAGAGAACGACGACGGCAAAGCAAAAGGTTAAATAAAGATGTTTCAGTGCCAGAAAATTGCGGCTCATCATCTCCAGAGCCCGATAAGTTAGACACAAAAAACAAGGAGAGTTTACCCTTTACAAATGAGGAAGAGAGGGTCCCAAGCCTAAAGTTAATAAAAATCAAAAATCCCAAATACGATCCGCAGAACCACGGGAAGACTTCGGCTCGGAAGAAAAAGCGAAGAAAATATATTTGGACTTTGACATTAGTGAAGGGAAGAATTCAACCACCTGGGCCTGAAAACACGACCAAAGTACCAGCAGAGACGGTGGATCAGCCTGCTCCATGTGACACCAGCGTCAACAAGAACACAAAAGGACAGGGTAGAAGATCCAAACCAGAGAGCGCAGCCCCCAAGGAGAGCGTGGCAGTCACCAGGAATGATCTCCAAAACGAGCCTGCCTCGGAAAACTCTAGTTTACAAGCTGAAGTTGAAACACCTACGCAAGAAACCATTAAGACCGACAGTGGGAAGGTTGTACCGCCTCTTCAGATCAAGAAGGTTTCTTCTCCTGGGAAGAAGCATAAAAGCTCAAAGCCGTCATTTTTAATCCAGCAGGTTAGCCCTGAAAAGAAGGAGGACGTTCAGAAAGATCCAGCTGAAGCTCACGAAGAGAAGCCATCTTCTCCAGATGGCGAGGCTGCTCCTACTAGGACATTAAGGAGAAGGACGCCTAGTGTTGATTCAGCAAACACCAGATCTGTCAGCCAGAAGCCAGCGGCCACTTACAAACGAATATTACGAAAAATCCAAGAGAAAGGGACTCCACAGGTAGAAGTTCCCCCTCAGGTCTCAACTGAAGATCCCACCTCTCAAGCTCTTCCCACAAACTCTTGCCAAATTTTGCCAGATCCACCACAAGATGCCAGCCTGAACTCGTTGGACGTTCTTGAGAAGGATACTTTAGAGGTTAATGACGGTTCTTCACAGTCGGCAGGGGAAGTTTGTCCACTGAAGGTGGAGAAAGAGGCAGAACCACAGACTGAAGAGATCAAACCACTACCTGTGCCTTCCAAACCTAGGAAACCTAGAAATAATAAACTAGTCAAAAAGAAGAAAAAGGCCATGGTTTCACCAGATGCCACTGTAGACACGGCTCCTGTTGCAATCGACTCGACTGCTGCAGAACCTGTCCAAACAGAAGATGTGCAACCCTTAGTTGTAGAGGTCAGTCAGCCTGAGGTGAAAGAGGTCACACAGCAGGACGAAGCACCAGAGACCAAACAGGACCCTACGTCAGTGGAAGAGGAGCAGAAAGAGTCGCCGGTGAAGGAAGAACCACACATGCAGCTGATCGACACTCCGCCTTCAGAGGTGCCAGAAAGTCTCGCAAATAAGCCAAAAACTTTCAAAAAATCTCACAAGAAACTAAAGAAGAAACGCAAAAGCTTAACTGGACCACGTCCCAAACACAGGCACAGGGACAGAGATGGGAAATTTGCTCCACTTACATTATCCGAAAGTCAAAGTGTCGATGAGGTGGATGATAATTACTCCCATGCAACCCCTGCTTCATACCTGGGCTCTAAACTCATCGGAGTACAGAAAAAGTACAAAAAGAAGCGGAAAGGATTTCATTTTATGGGATCCAAAAGGCCTAAATCAACATCGAAAATCATCTCTACACTGATGGAAATGGGGTTAGGACAGGGAAGTTTAAAGCAGGAAGAAGCAGACACCCCAGTCGACTCGGGACAAACGAGTGTTGCTAACCCCCAGCCTGGAAAGTCCAAGTTTGTAAAAAACATCAAACACTTCATTATGCCCGTTGTAAGCGCTAGATCTTCCCGTGTCATCAAGACCCCGCAGAGATTCATGGATGATGCTGGAATGTCGGTGTTGCCTCGCAGAAACTCTCCCAAGAAGGGTTTGCAGCTGGGCCTGCAGGTACGCTCCGGAAAGAGGCAAGACGACGAAGCAGAAAGAGCCATCTCCCCCATCTTTCCTATCAACGAGGAGGACATCCTTAATGAAGCTCAGCTGGATGTTGATCTGTTTTCAGCTCAGGACCTGGATGATGACCTTGACCTAGCTCATAGCCTGTTTTGTGACAGAAAATCCAACAAGAATGAAATGAAGGAGCCCTTTTTAAAGAACTCCAGCTTCAAGTGGCATCTTTCAGAGGAGCCCGACGAGGGGGTGTACACACTGGACACAAGCCCAGTGGGCAAATGTGAGAATCTGTTTTTATCCGTGGATAAACCGCCAGAACCTTCGTCAGACCTTATGGACTTTCTGAGAAAGAAAAGTTCGCCCAAGTTTAACAAGCAAGCAGCTCAACTCAAGATTTACCAGAGATTAAAGAAGCCGCACACGGGACTTCCTAAGAGCAAAGCCACGCAGGAGCTCGAGCCTGCGAGCAAACCTGCCGCGCCTCCGGTGGATTTAGCAGAAGGACTGGATGACGAGGTGATGAGCATCAGTTTGAGACAACGGGACACGAGCACAGAAAAGGCCAAGTCTAAGCTGAAGATAGAGGACCTTGATTCTCCAGGGGTAGTGAGGAAGGTTTCCGTGTGTGTCCGGGGGACCAACTCCATCGCACTTCAACAACGTGGAGGAGAAGCTTTAGCAGGAAACACCGTCCTAGCCTCAGGTACCAGTGTTGAAACCAATCTGTTTATTAGTGCTAAATGACAGGTGATCCGTTTCTGATGCAGGTGGAACAAAACAAACTGCTTCCTTTGCAGGAGAGCCGAAGCCTGCACAGAACTCGGGCGCAAGCAGAGGTGTTCATGTAGGTTCTGTGGAGAAAGGAGCTCCACAGCGAGCTCGCCTCACTGGTGCAAACAAAAGAATGTTGAATCTCCTGAGGAAAGCCAAGGTTCAGCTCATTAAAATCGACCAGCAGAAACAGCTGAAGTCCTCTGGGGTAAGGTCAAGACGCCGTGATCAGATTAGTCATGCCTTTTGTCTGTTAATCAGACCTTGCTGTTGTAGCTGATTTGTTCTCTTAATGTTGTGAAGGGAGTATTTGTAAAGACCAATGAGGTTTTTCTCAGACTTTAGACAGTGACGTGTCATTACTCTACACTTGTAGCTTTTATCGGGTCCAGCCGGAGCCAGGTCTCAAGATCTCACCTCAAAGAGACAGAGGAGGAAGCAGAGGCTGCGGCGTTATCCTGATGTTCCAGTCAAGACCGAGCCTCTTCAAGGACAAGTGAGTGGTTGGATCAATACGCCCGAGAGGAGGAGTCATCGATCCAAGCTCAAATCTCTTTTTGTCTGTTTTTGACAAATCCCAGAAAAGTAGATCCAGTCGGTGAACCTAGCCTGTGTCATTTTAGTTAAAGTAAAAGTTGTTTGTCTTGTCTTTTAGCCGCAGCTCATTTCCCCACTCTGTCAGGAGTTCCGCAGAGCAGGAGGTCCACGAATCAAGCACGTGTGCCGCGCTGCCTCCGTGGTGCTGGGGCAGCCTCGGGCCCTCGTTCCTGATGACATTCCCAGACTAAGCGCCTTGCCGCTGCATGAGAGATCCGGCATTTCCCCATCAGCTGTCACTCAAGGTCGTTATGATCAGGATGAACATATTTATTTGGTTTGATCATTAGAGTTCAGTTAAAAACAGTCTCAAACCCAGTTATTTTATATGAACATGCTACTTTTTTATCAAGATCTTTACCTGGGAAACGGCTTTAATGTTTTATCCTCACAAAGGTTCGGAGAAATTACTCCGGTGTCTCTCCATCACAGATGTTGGGTCTCAGTCGGAGCCGGACAGCCCAGGACTTTCAGATTCAAAGGCAACAAAATCAAAGAAGACATCGAATTTTGCGAAGAGGAAAGGACTCGGCCCGTTTGGGTACCGCTCACGGAGGTGTGGCGTGTGCAAGGGCTGCAACCACGAGGACGACTGTGGCGACTGCATAAACTGCCTGGACAAACCCAAGTTTGGCGGTCCAAACACCAAGCGTCAGTGTTGCGTGTAAGTTCATGTCCTCTGCTAAGTTAGTTTAACTGTGAAGTGCGACGCACCTGATTCATCCCGGCTCTCGTTCACCACCAGCTATAAGAGATGTGATCAAATTGAAGAGAGAAAAGCTCGCAGACTTAGTGGGAGGACGGTACCCAAAGGTATTTTTCTGCTTCTCTCTTACATTTAGTGTTTTTCTCTAAAACAGTTTTAATAATCCAGTTCTTTTCTGTGTTAAGGATCCAATAAGCGTAGGCGGCCATCTCTCAGCATGGGTCATTCGAGTAACGACGAAGGGATGGAGGGTGCCGGCGACTCGCCATCTGGCCTCCAGACCGACGGCCACAGTCCATCAGTGAGGAAGCAGCCAAAGCGTGTGGTGAAACCTCGCGTGTATTTCGACCTGGTGGATTATGACTCGGATCTGGACGAGAAAGCTTTGTGCAACTCGGCCTCACCGGCGAGGAGACGGGGTGCCGGACCTCGTTTCGGCCAAGGTGATTTCTGCATACGAGACAGAACAACCAACCACATTTCTTCACCTGTAATATTTTAGTCACAAAGTTTGTGGAGATTAGTTATTTTTTCTCTTGTCCTGAAGATTTTGTGTCTCTGGATGGGTTCTGGGAAGACTTTTCAGACGATGAAGTCAGGCATCGCAAATCTAGTTCACATCGGGTACCGCAGGGTCGGCGGAAACCCGAGAAGGTGGGTGACCTCATACGGAGATCCCTTGTTGGATCTGAGGATTTTTCTGACAATCTTTTGATTTAATCCTTTTAAGCAAATGTGTTTTAAAGCCCAAAGCATTTTGCTGTGTAGCTTTGACATTAGGTGGGTAGCAGAAAACATAAGGAGGCCATCGTTGTTGATGAGACGGTTGCAGTGCTGATGTGTTAGATTATTGTTTACTAGTTTAATTCTAGGAACCTGTCATGTGAAGAAAAAACAAGTTGTGGACATGTCTCTCAGGTTCTGTCGTCTCAGAGTCCTTTGGAGCAGACCCCCCCCAGCGTCCTTGCTGCTCTGGCTCATGGCTTTGAGCAGCGAGACGTGGAGTCTTCTAAACCGACTCACAAAATCAGGGTCGACTTCAAGGTAGGACGCGTTTTTCTTTTCACTGTAAACTCGTTTTAATGAGTGAATTAATGGACAGTTTGTCCCTTTTTTAATCAGATTTCATAATAAAACTCATTAAAAAACCCTTTAGGATCCTTTATGTGCCACACATTTTTGGCCACTAGGGGTCAGTCTTTTATTTGGTCAAGTTTGAACTAAAAGTAAAATCTTTATTTATCATGACACAAGAAGGATAAACACATTATACCCTCCCAGAGGTTAGTCTGTGGGCTCTGGCCTGTGACGGATCGGTTGTTGTCTGATCTTCAGGAGGACTGTACTCCAGAGAACGTGTGGAACCTGGGTGGTTTAAGCGTGTTGACCTCTGCGCCGCTCATGCCTCCCTACGTTTGCTTCCTTTGTGCCAGTAAAGGCCAACACGAGGTGACTGCTCAGTGTTCTCTGCTGTTTAAAGTTAATCAGCGTATAACGGTTGCATCATCATATTTAAATCGTATTTGTCGTCTGTGGGGTTTTCATACAGATGTTATACTGCCAAGTATGCTGCGAACCCTTCCACCGGTTCTGCCTTGAACCTGCTGAACGTCCCTCGGAGGAGAATAAGGAAAATTGGTGCTGCAGGCGCTGCAAATTCTGTCATGTGTGTGGGAGAAAAAACAAGCTCTCCAGGGTAAGGAGAGGCAATTAGACTTGGTTTTGGTCCTTGGAATAAAACTTCCCCCAGACTCACATTTGCACCCTTACATGTCCTCCTCCAGCCTCTAATGGAGTGTGAACGGTGCCAAAACTGTTACCATGCTTCCTGTCTGGGACCAAACTATCCAAAACAACCCAAGAAGAGGAAAACCTGGGTAGGATTATCAGAAAACACAAAACCAGGGAGGTGTATGTTCTACTAACATGGCCGTGTCTCTGCAGGTGTGTATGACATGCATCAGGTGTAAAAGCTGTGGTGTCACTCCGGGGAAGACTTGGGACACCGACTGGAACCACAGTAAAGGCCTCTGTCCAGACTGTTCAAAACTCTACGACCAGGGTAGAGACTCCTTACCACCCTGTCTTTGTTTATTGTCCCAACAAGTTGGCTAAAGTAGTCTTTGTACATTTTCTTAGGAAATTACTGTCCAATCTGCTTCAAGTGCTATGAAGATAACGACTATGATAGTCAGATGATGCAGTGTGGCACGTGCAACCACTGGGTGCATGCCCGATGCGAGGATCTAACAGGTGAGTCCTGCTGGTTTCCCCGCGTGACGGCGTGTTTTAGTGCTTGTTAAAGCCTTCGTCACATTTTCCTGATTTTAATATCACCGCTTGACTGATTTCAGACGAGCTGTATGAGATCCTGTCCAGCCTGCCAGAGAGCGTGGTCTATTCGTGCCGGCCGTGCAGCGTGACCCAGCCAAGCGCCTGGAGGGAGCTGCTTTACATCGAGCTCAGGGCCGGGGTGGAGAAGGTGCTGGCGTGCTTACTGTCCTCCACCCTCACCCAGCATCTTGTTACCTGCTCACAGGTTGGAAACGCAGACTTTTGCATTTGAACGTTTGTTGTCACTGAAAGCAGTTGATTGGTTGGTGAGGGGGTTTGCCCTGGAATTTAAAACTGACATGATCAAACACACGCTGGTTTTGTTTTAGTGTGAGACGTTGGTTGACCCCGATGGTGGAACTGAAGGTCAGCCAGCCTGTGACCTTCGAGCAGTCGGCAAGAAGTTCGACAAAGGCCTGTATACGTCACTGGTGAGCTCTGAGCTATTTGATGTCAACACTAAAGCCGGGCGTACACTGTGCGACTTTTTCACTTTTTTGAGCCGATTTTCCAGTCGTGCGAGAAGCCACGACATCGGGGCGAGTTTTGCGCCGAGCGGTCGTGTAGTGTACAGGGGGTTACGAGAGGCGATTAACACCACGTGACCAGCAGCCGATCAGCAGTCGTGAGGTCGCACGGACTTCTGGTGTGTTTAATATTTCGCTCGTCCCTCGTGAGGGTATCGCACTGTTGAAGCGGCGCTGCGAGCAGCTGCGATCCAAAAAGTATCACAACCGCTCACGGCGCATGCGCAATCCTGCATCAACGCCGGCCGGTCGCTCGCTATTTCCCTAATAACACACGCTGTTCGTTTTTGTTTCTACACGTTTTTTTTACTCACAAAGATTGTCCAGAAAGTGTGTTTGTCGTGTTCATGTCAAATTAAACTGATCACAAAACACAGATTTACTTTCTTTATTTCGTTTTCCTCATCCAACCCCCATAAATCCCTGTGTGTCCTCCTGCAGCACTCCCGAAGGACAACAGGCAAGACAAAAAAGTCTGACGTGTTGAGTAAAAACTGCTATTTTTAGCACATTTTTAGGGCCGACGTGTTGCTACCAGACGTACAGTGTGAGCAGTCAGGTCGCATGCGAGAACTGGGTCATACAGTGTGAGCACATGACTCGTGAGATCTGCTCTGCGAGGAAGTCGTACAGTTTGAGCTGAAGCTGAACGCTGCGAGTGAAAAAGTCGCACAGTGTACGCCCGGCTTAAGGGTGTTAAAGGGAGACGTGGCGACTTTTTCATATTTTTAAATCAATTTCTTCAGCAAGTACGTGCTAAAATGACCCTTTACTGGGTTAATGAAAGGTCACCCAGCCCCGGTCTGTGGTCAGAATATTCAAACAGGAAGTGTGTGTGGAGTAAGACTTGTGGTGACTAGCTCTTTGACTCATTTAACAGGAATAACAGAAATGATTTCATAAAAAACACAAATGTTTTCTCCAAAACTAATTTGAGAAATCTGTTAGCCAGGAATTAGTAACTTTAATGATTCCCTCTCAGTATGTAAAACGTTCCCTACACTCTTTTAAAGCATCATTTTCACATCTGTGTGAAAGTTTCTGTTTGATGTTTAAATTGGGATCGCCACATCACCTCTTTAGCCAGTCTGTGTACTGGTTCTGTTAAATGACCCGGCTTTGGCCTTCAGACGTCACCCAGAGAAACGGCTCTTGTTCTTGATGACTTTGGAACACAGTTGTGCTTTCTCTCGCGGCTGAAAGCTGATCAGGTCCTGTAGCTGCAGAATTGGCACGCCCCTCCAGCTCTCCAGCTCCGTGCATGACATTGTTTGAATAATTAGATGGGGTGATGTTTGGTTTTTAGTGAACACGTCCTCCATGTTGACCTTCATCCATCTGGATGTTGTTCCAGAAGTCTCCTCTAATCGTTTGTAGCCAGGCTGCCAGTCCTCTGTTTAATTCTGCACAGAGAACCAGTCTGGTTACTCGCAGGCAGAGAGGCACGTGAGGGGCGGGACTAGCCAGCTCAAAAATAACCAATCAGAACAAAGGCGGAAATGCCGACTAAAGCTGTCGTTTTTTAGCTGTAGTCAAAAATGGCGTCTGGTGATGGCGCAAACATCTTTCTTTAGAACGTTTTTTAGAGCTTCTACTTGTTTTGGTTGTAAAGACAAGTCCAAGTCATTTAGATCAGAGGAAAGAGCCGCTCGAGATGCCGTCTTCATAGTTTATGAGAAACTCAGCGTTGCGGTGTGTGACGTACGCTGCTCAGCGCTAATTGGCTCAGGGGGTGGGGTTATTTGAGTAGAAGAATTCCCAGAAAGAAGCATGTGGTTAGCGTATTCTCAGCAACACGCAGGATCTTCACGGCCAGGTTGGACTCAAGTGATCAGTAGTTCTCAGGATTGCCTGTAGTTATTGTTTTTTAATTCTAGCTCCTTGTTTTTGTTTCTTTTCTAACAGAAAAAGTTCCATGAAGATGTGGTCCAGGTGGTGCGAAGGAAGCTGGAGCTGGAAGAGCACCTCCCAGAGGAGCAGAGGCCTACTGCCCTAGCACGCTCTTACTACTTAAAGGTACAGCAACACCCAAAGTGAGCTGCTGTTAAAGTGTCATGAACAATAAACGGTTTCAGAGCCAAACACAGATTTCATTATTTTACCATTTAGCTCCTGGAGGAGGTGTTTAACTGGTTCAACGGTCAGGACCCAAAGTTGTGGACCCTTTCTACCAAAGACTTGCCCATGTGAGTGAAAGAGACTTTTAATTAGAGCGATTTAGTCAGTGTAACTCACACAAGTTATTAGCCGTCATACTCTCGTGGTCCTCCTTCAGGGGGATGCTGTCCCACGCTGTTCATCCTCCCAACACCGAGCACGTTTACGCCCAGTGGCAGGAGAGGAGGCAGCTTCTGTCCAGGCCTCCGCTGGGTCTCCTGCTAGAGGACAACGGACAGAGCTTGGACATAAAGGAGGAGGAGGCGGTTTCTCCGATGTCGGGCGATCCGACAAGCCGTAATCATTTCAGAACTAGCAGAACTCTCAGAATCAAAGGTCATTTGTGGAAAAAATACAAATATTATTTTTGCTTTCAAAGTAATCTTGATGCTTGGAGGTTAGTGTTTACATTTATTATCTTCTAAAGGTAAAAGAGGCAGACTTTCCAAAGCAGATCTGGACACAGGATGGACTAAAGAGGATGAAAGGCAGTGCTCTCTGTGCCAGAAATACGGAGACCTGAAACCCAACGTAAGTTTTACAGTAAACGTGGAGATGCGACCCACCAGGTCTTGATTAGTGACTCACCGCTGCTCTGCAGGAGGCGGGGCGCCTGCTGTACCTGGGCCAGAACGAGTGGGCACATGTCAACTGCTGCCTGTGGTCGGCGGAGGTGTTCGAGGAGGACAACGGCTCTCTGCTGCATGTGCACAGTGCTGTCACAAGGGGGCGCTTGATGGTTGGTTCATTATTCTGAAATGTATCTGTTAACAAATCCAACTCTAACACATCAGTAGAGTTTAGCGTTTATTTAAAACCAACGTTTGATACTTAAATGAGCAGAATATTTCAGTAGAAGGGCCTCTGTTTGCAGAAATAGTGATTAGGTCTGAGAAAACTGATGACATGATGGTGAAAGGCGACTTAGACATTAAGGCCGATTGCTGCCGTCCTAAACAGTTTTAATCTTTCATGTTTAATGTTGGGTCATGTGACCGTTGCATTGTAAAGGGTTAATTTATGTGTTATTTAATGAACCATGAGACATGAGATTCCATAGGAAATAGGAAATCAACCTTATGGATCTTTGGGTACTTTTAACCAGAAGATTGGAACTTTTTATTGCAGGGATTATGTAACACTTCGTATTAACTCAGAGACAACAGAAGAGAAAGCCAAGTTTAATAAGTTTAAAGATTTATCACTAAACAAATTAAACTAGACTAAGTTTAAACACTAAATGTATGGTGTAACTAAGGTGAAGTGAGACGGAGAATGGTGTAATGTGGAATGTTGTTCAGAACCAGCAAATCCGGAGAAACGATAAGTTCTGATGGGAGTGAAGGTGATGTCTTCGCTCTAAGCTTTGATTCGGAGATTCATAAACACATAAGACGCCAACTTGTCACTCCACACATACCCTTAGAATGAGACCTCCGTACAGACCCAGGCTGCCAGGTCCTCGAACCCCTCTTTCGGTCCGGAGCCGATGAAACAGCGTCAGCAGTACGACAGACTAGTCTTTGGATTGTCTCCAGGTAAAAAGCGACAGTTGGTTGACAGCGTCAGATGGACCCGGAGGGTCAATGAGTTCAGCTTTTATTCTGAAAGGAACCATTGCAGCAGGTGGAACAGCAACAGATGTTATCCAGCTTGTCGTTGGTTCTTTCGGCTGAAGAGGAAAGTTACGGATTGGCCACTCCGACAACTTCTCTAGAACGCTTTGAACTGGGATTAAAGATGACGTGGGCATAGTTTTATACTTCGGATGTTTTGGTTTATGGTCGAATGAAAAGACAACAGATTTACCAAGCACCACCAAAACCACGCCTCCATCAGATCTGGCAGATTCTGATTGGGTCAGTGAAGGCCATGTGTCGTCTCTTGACGCTACATGTGATCAGTCTCTAACGGAAACATTTAGAGTTATATTACTTATGATATTCTATAGGATTATAATAAAGTAATTAATATTTTCATTTCACAGATTGGTTCACATTTTATTATTGACTAACACTTTGTTTGATTAGCTTATTAAAAATAGAGTTCTTTGATTTATTAAAAAGGACGAGTCCTTTGTCTTCATTCTTCTCTTGGGCTGGAAAGGAAAACAGTTTGGAGCAAATGCATGAGACCTTGAGGCCAGATCTCATGCAGATTAGTTCTTGCTGAGGAGAGGGGGAACTGACTTTTAGGTGGAAAACCGTCATTTCATTCCGTTACACCATTTAGAATATTTAAACTACATTATATTTAGCATGAATGCATTATTAATAGGTAATATTATTGGGAGTGATGCATTGCATCACTGATGACAGAATTTGAATAATTTCCCGACTCTGGGACCAATTACATAAATTACACTTTCTATTAAAATATATATACTTTTAGAGGATTCGTGACCGATGGTGATGTGAAAGTTTATAAACCAGCACTTGCAAATCTTTGTTATTAGGGTAGGGTATAAAGAGCAGATTTTCTCCAAACTGAGGCCATTCAGGGAGCCACCTTCTGTGGATAAGATCTAAAATCTTGGTAGTTTTTATGCAGAAACCAACTAAGATGGTGAAAATGTCTGGTTTTACTCACCGGTGACATCCTCATTGGTTTCTTGTCCTTTTCCACCAGCGATGTGAACGCTGTAATCACACCGGTGCCACCGTGGGCTGCTGTTTGACATCTTGTCAAAGTAACTACCACTTCATGTGCGCCCGCTCTCGGCAGTGTGTGTTCCAGGATGACAAAAAGGTCTATTGCTACAAACATCGGCATCTCATCAGTGGCAGGGTAAGATCTGCTCCTTCTGTGTTGTTGCAATCTAGACGTTTAGACTTTGATAGTCACCCTCTCACTGACTTGTCCTTTGTTCTAAAGATGACAACAGGTCAGGAGTTTGAAGTAAACCGCAGAGTGTATGTGGACTTTGAAGGGATCAGCCTTCGCAGGAAGTTCCTGACTGGCGTGGAGCCCGACCTGATTAACTTGATGATCGGTAAGCTGTGTTTTTGTTCTACACGGCTGCTTTTGTTTCCTCCTTTACTGGTTTGGTGGGGCTTGAACTAGGGCTGCACAATATATCGAAAAATGATCGTTATCGCGATAACAGGACGTGCGATAGGCCCAACGCAAAACACGTCAAAAACAGCGATAAATGTTTGGTTCAAACATTTCCATCTGTGTCATACATCTACTTTTTGTAAACCAGCTCTGTTTTTTACGCGGAAGTATTTTTTGACCAATCAAATGTAGCCCTTCTGATATGCGGCCAATCAGATGGTTCTGTTCACGTAATACGCCCGCCCCCTACATAGACCCTTTAAGGATGGAAAGCAACACCTGAACTGAGTTAGCGACGCCGTTCCCTTGTTCGTCATGCTGGCTCAGAGCAACAAACGCACTTTGTGCTGATGTTTCAGGAATCAGCGCTGCTTTCAAACGTGAACGTGAGTCCGCTCGGTGTCGTTAAGCAGCTGATAATAACCGGGCTGACTCCGACACGTGCTGGTGAACCAACCCACCTACCTCCATGTTGCTAGTGTTCCACCGGGTGGTGACGTTAGCCCCAGGCTCCGGTTAGCTTCCAGCTAAAAGGCTACAGCACTCTCCTCCCAGTCCCACCCTGCTAAGGAGGGCCTGGAAAAGTTCCCCCACACATCAAAGTGATTTTTCATTTATAACCTTGTTAATCAGGATAATTGATTTGCTGCTGCACATAAACTGTCAGTCAGAAGTTCTGCTAGCCGGTTATCTTAGAGGAGCTAGTTCAATTTGTTAGCTTGTTATCAGAATCATAGTTGCAGTTTCATCATCTGAGCTGCTTTTTAAGATCTAGGTAAACTTGTTCAATTTGGGGTTAAAAACAAACGTTTTCACATATTTTCCATGTAGTTTTTTGCCAGTTCCTCTTCTGAAAGGTAGACAATTGTTTTTCTCTTTCCCTCAAAAAATCTTAATATTCTCCTAGTTTGGCCCAGCACAGTTCCCAATTGCAGCAACAGCCTTATATCATAACCACATAAGTGGAGAAAATGCTCAGTAGCAATGAGAGAATTTGCTGTTGCATGTAAGTGACGTTAACTACTATTTAACATTTAAACTTATTTTTTGTTTTTTTTTTATTTATTCATAAAACCCTGGTAAGGGATGTTTTTCTGTATTTGGAGCATCAGAAAAAGTTTTATGGTGGAGGTGATGTTTTAAAGTCACTGAGAAACTGCATGCATGCAGTTTGTTGTTTTGCTGTTAATACAGTGGCAGGTGCAGCTGCTAATACAGTAGCGGGTGCAGCTGCTAATACAGTAGCGGGTGCAGCTGCTAATACAGTAGCGGGTGCAGCTGCTAATACAGTAGCGGGTGCAGCTGCTAATACAGTAGCAGGTGCAGCTGCTAATACAGTAGCGGGTGCAGCTGCTAATACAGTAGCAGGTGCAGCTGCTAATACAGTAGCGGATGCAGTTGCTAATACAGTAGCGGGTGCAGCTGCTAATGCAGTAGCGGATGCAGTTGCTAATACAGTAGCGGGTGCAGCTGCTAATGCAGTAGCGGGTGCAGCTGCTAATACAGTAGCGGGTGCAGCTGCTAATGCAGTAGCAGGTGCAGCTGCTAATACAGTAGCGGGTGCAGCTGCTAATACAGTAGCGGGTGCAGCTGCTAATACAGTAGCGGGTGCAGCTGCTAATACAGTAGCGGGTGCAGCTGCTAATACAGTAGCGGGTGCAGCTGCTAATACAGTAGCGGGTGCAGCTGCTAATACAGTAGCAGGTGCAGCTGCTAATACAGTAGCAGGTGCAGCTGCTAATACAGTAGCAGGTGCAGCTGCTAATACAGTAGCAGGTGCAGCTGCTAATACAGTAGCGGATGCAGTTGCTAATACAGTAGCGGGTGCAGCTGCTAACGCAGTAGCGGGTGCAGCTGCTAATACAGTAGCGGGTGCAGCTGCTAACGCAGTAGCGGGTGCAGCTGCTAATACAGTAGCGGGTGCAGCTGCTAACGCAGTAGCGGGTGCAGCTGCTAATACAGTAGCGGGTGCAGCTGCTAACACAGTAGCGGGTGCAGCTGCTAATGCAGTAGCGGGTGCAGCTGCTAATACAGTAGCGGGTGCAGCTGCTAATGCAGTAGCGGGTGCAGCTGCTAATACAGTAGCAGGTGCAGCTGCTAATACAGTAGCGGGTGCAGCTGCTAATACAGTAGCGGGTGCAGCTGCTAATACAGTAGCGGGTGCAGCTGCTAATACAGTAGCGGGTGCAGCTGCTAATACAGTAGCGGGTGCAGCTGCTAATACAGTAGCGGGTGCAGCTGCTAATACAGTAGCGGGTGCAGCTGCTAATACAGAAGCGGGTGCAGCTGCTAATACAGTAGCGGGTGCAGCTGCTAATACAGAAGCGGGTGCAGCTGCTAATGCAGTAGCGGGTGCAGCTGCTAATGCAGTAGCGGGTGCAGCTGCTAATGCAGTAGCGGGTGCAGCTGCTAATACAGTAGCGGGTGCAGCTGCTAATACAGTAGCGGGTGCAGCTGCTAATACAGTAGCGGGTGCAGCTGCTAATACAGTAGCAGCTGCTAATACAGTAGCAGCTGCTAATACAGTAGCAGCAGCTGCTAATACAGTAGCAGCTGCTAATACAGCAGCAGGTGCAGCTGCATATTTCTGCAATAAAAATGTTATGTTGTATGGAATTCATGCATTAGTTTTGTTTGCTTTGAACCCAGAGCAGACGTCACACGCCAGATGACATCAACACTGCATATTTTAGTATTTGTTCATTTATCGCGAGTAATATCGATTTCGCAATATTAAGCACTGCTATCGAATATCGCAGGTTTTCCTAATATCGTGCAGCCCTAATTTGAACTAATATCCTGTTGTTCTCGATTTCTCCTTGCAGGATCCTTGCAGATCGACAAGTTGGGAGTGTTAACTGAAATTTCTGCTTTAAAGGGCAAATTGTTTCCTGTGGGTTTTCAGTAAGTAGCTTTTTTCCTTTTTAATCTGTTTTTTATTAAAAAAAATTTATAAATAAATATTTTTCTCAAATTTAAACTTCTTTTGTAAATCCAGGAGGGCTGGGCGATGTGGCCTAAAGTCAGTATCATGGTATATATGAGGGGTTCACCTTGATAACGATGAATGGACGATGACTACATGTATGCGTGTGTCACTCGCTGTCATGTGACTCGAGGCGGTACGTCTTCTTGAACGGACATGACCGTCGACAATAGAGCTGAGGAAAATAATCAAATAATCGATGCATCGGGATGCGGACATAAACGATTCTGCATCGTAGAAGAGTACGCCATAATCGATTATAGTGGAATGTTTTTTTTTTTTTTTTAACGGCGGCACCAGCGCTGCGTCCAAATCTGTCAGAGTGAGCATCCTCCACATTTACCTCCGCCTTAATGTGGTACTGCAGGGCTGAGCGCTAGAGTTGTCACCCGAGACCAAACCGGAACCGAATCAACCCGACCGGTTCTGTTGGATTTGGGCCGTGAATTATGTTAATTGAGCGGGTTGTCGTGCTGCGCGCTCCGCTCGCTCGATCAGCGACAGAGAGAGAGAGAGACTGTCTGCTCACACAAGAGAGACGATCGGAGGACGCTCCTCCAAACCGATGCTCCAAACACGCGTTATTATTTTCATAATTTAATTATTATTTCTCCTGGAAGCGCTCAGTCAGACCGAGTGTTGTGATGCTGGGAGATCCGGTCTTGGGGAGGGGGCGGGGTCAGTGACGGCGGCTGCAGCGTGATCGTCTGTCTCTTTTATTTAAGGACACGGAGAAGCTAAAAGGAGAGAGAAATAGAAGTTCTTGTTCCACTTTATTCTTTTGTTTCATGATGATAAACTGATGTTAAATTCAGCATAAAGAGAAGCTGGGAGGAAGCTTTGGTTCATTTTAGGTTGCAGGAGACTTGTCTCCTATCTGCTCCTCCAGAGACAGCATGGACATGAGGAATACATGGTGAGGGTCCCACAGGACAGGTTAGTGGAAAGGTTGGTAGTTAGCTGGTTAGTGAAAGAGATCCATCAGCTGGGTAATTTAATCCTAATCCAGCCCACAGCCTTCTGCTGGTGTTATTATCAGAAAGAATAAAACACACATCTTAAATATTATTGGAAGTGTAGAATTTGTTTTATGTTTTATTATTATCTGCATCAAACAGAACTTGATTCATTCTCCAACATATCACAAATGAACCACTGGGTTCAAATAAAATAAACGAAGTCAAACATTTCATTTGGTGTTATTTCTGACACCCTTCAACTGCGGCATAAATATTTGACTCTAGAGCTGCTCAGAGACATTGAACACTCATATATGAACCCATTATGTATTTTATTATTACATTATGTGTCCTGTAGGTTTTCAGTACTTTTTTAGATTTTGTGAGTTTTTGCAAAGTGTGTTTTTCTCAGCCTGAGGCGTGGTGTTGAACCAGGAAACAGATTGTTTTACTTTGTTAAATCTTCTTAAATGTTTAAATGTTTTGTCCTAACCTGTTGTGAATGGAGAGCTTTTGAGGGATGGCAGGTTGTGTCAATTACGTTTTAGATAAAAAAAAATAAAAAGCAATTATCTGACATCTTCTATTTATCGATGAAAACAAATCAATATGAAATAATCGTGATGCATCGGGATATCGAATCGAATTGAATCGTTGACCCAATAATCGTAATCGAATCGGGAGACAAGTGAAGATTCACACCTCTAGTCGACAACCCACTCGCGTAGTTTTATTATTGAATTTGTTGACATGGGAAAAGCGATATCAGTTTGATGACGATACATTTCTTATTTATTGCCCATCCATAGTGTCTCGTGTTTGCATCTATGTTAGTGGAATGGAGTACGTATGTCCTTTGGTATTAGAGCCCAGGAATAAATGCCAAGCAAAAGAGTAAATACAAATATATTCATTTATTTTATGAATAGCTTTATTTAAAAAAAAGTTTCTTCAGGAATATTCCTTTTCCTGACCCAGGTGTTCTCGGTGGTACTGGAGCACAGTTAATCCGCTGAGGCGGTGCAGATACACGTGTACAATCCGGGAAGTTCGACCCGTTATTCCAGAGAAGCCTGCGGAGGAGATGCCCGACCAAGGGGAGAATCACACCATTGCTCACAGCCCCTTTCAGCCTGGTGAGCCGTTTTTTTAATAAATATCATTTTCTTATAAGGAAGTAACGAAAAGACAGTTTTTTAAACCTCTTTTATTCATCTTCAGAATTGGAAGCCCAAGACACGGATGTGTCAGAAAGCCAACCCCCAGCAGAAGAAGGCTTTGTCACAGGTCTTCCCTCCAAGTCGGATCACTTCGCAAGGCCTAAAGTTTCCAGCCATCCTCTGCCCAGAAGGCCCGCTGGAGGAATGTCCCGCCCTCTGCCGTGTCCAGGTTGAGTATATTTTCTTTACTGTGTTCATTTCTACGCATGACTTCAGTAGTTGTAATCTTTTACTCTCTTACTTTTAGGCATAGCCGAGACGAAACCCCACCACATTCTGACTGTAAGCGATTTAGAAGAGACTCGGAGAGCTCGTCGCCACAGCCCACACTCCCAGACATCAGGACTTCGCAGTCGGATGTCCCCACCCCCACTGGCTCCTCTAGCCGGGTCAGCTACCCTTCGTTCTAGCAAACCTTCCCTGCCTACTTCCCCACTATATCCCCTTTCAGACCACTCTGTGAACTGCCCGTCGTCCCGCTCTGTAGGAAGTCGAAACGCCTCCAAAGCCCGTTGCCCTGGCAACACGTTAACACACTGCACTCCGTCGTTCTTTCCTCAGTCTCACTGGCAGGACAGTGTAGCCTCTGTAAGTCTGCCTTTCTCGTCATCCATGCAACATTTACCTAGAAATCGCTTGTCGTTTGATCTGAGTCAGTCCGATTCTGTTGAGGTGCCACACAACTTCTTGGCTTCGCCCGAACCTGAAGATATCTCCCCAACGAATGGCACATCACCTCATGTGGACATGGACAAACACGGTGAGGAGTTTCCATACAACTCATTCAACAGGGATTCCTCTATAAGTCTGGGCGAAGAGATGCGAGCAGAACTTGAGATTGAAGAAACGCTCCTGAATGAGGGGGTGGCTATGAACTGCGGGGGCCAGATAGTGGTGGAAGGTGATGATCAGGAGGAGTACTGGGGGAGAACCCAGGAGGTACATAAAAAGAAATCCCTTGTTGCGAGCCTTCCTCGGTCTGCAGCCTCAAACAAGGAAGACTTGGGAAACACTTCCTCTGATGACGACGTGGAGCACTATTTTGATTTCTCACGAACAATAGTTAGCTGCCCAATATCAAAAGATCGGTCCAAGTCCCCTTGCTCATCTTCCTCGCGGCCCTTGGCTCAGTTGGATGGTATAGATGACGGTACAGAGAGCGATGCAAGTGTAGTAACTACTGATGATCCTCAGAAGGTCGGTGGGTTCTGCAAAAATCCGATTCAAAGCAGAAACCCAAACAGCACAGAGGCCCTTGGTTCATCAGACAACAAGCAGGCAGAGTCTTCATCTGTTGCCATGGCTGCTTCCAATAAATGTCCACTTTCGTCCAGCAATGTCGACAAGAACTCTTCAGTAGGTCAGAAACCTGCAACTTCCCCTGCTGACCGTCTTCCAGATTTACTCACAAAGGTGCCTGAGTCGTCACATCCATTGGTCGGTTCCAGTTTAGGCTTTGCCACAGGAACACCTCTTGTTCTTCAGGAATGCGACAGTGGCCCGCGTTTCACAGAACTGCTTCCTGTGCTACAAGGCACTCCTCTCCCGTCTGAAACATGCAAAACCCTGAACTCTGACCCCAACATCTTTGCAGCATCAACTGAGGGATCTGCTGTTGTGATAAACCACTTAACACCTGATGTGATGGAACCGTCATTACAATGTTCAGTTGATGGTACCCAGGGCTCTCTGCTGGGCCTGCTTGAGCCTTCACCTTTAATGCCTGCGGATGATGCACGAAACCCCTCTCAATGCCTTGACGATTCTCTCGACATGTTTTCTTGTTTACCAGGCTTCAGTCAGTCTCCTCAAACGAGTATCACACTTCAGCCGGTGACGGCTGTGCAGGAATTGGCAGGCTACCCATCCACCGAGCCTTTCTCCAGTAAGCTAACGACCCTCACTCCAGTGGAAGATGTGTCGCAGATGCAGCTAAATGTTGCAAATCAAACCAATCCAGGGTTACCAGCAATCCTGGGGGCTTGCCCCCCACCTGAAACGTGTGCCATTGTTTCGGTTCCCATGTACTCCACACAAACACAGCCGTTCAGTTCTGCATCACTCACCATCGTTTCTTCTTCAGCTTCGGTATCGACGCCCTGTGCGGCCACGTCAGCACCGTTACAAACCACCTCCGCCCCTATGATCCTAAACGGGTATGGCTCCTCGTTACTGCAGAAGGAAGCCACATCTGGTCATACAATTTCCATCAACTTCTCTGCACCGAGGCCAGCTATGGAGCCTCAGCAGCCTGTGCTGCCCCAGGCGTTACCCGGTCACGCTATCCTCACTGTGAAGGAGGTAGGAGGTCCAAACGTGGACCCTACACCACATGTTCTACTGGTGAACCGCCTTGGGCAGATCTTTGTGAAGAACCCTGAAAGCAACACTTTCCAGCTGCCCACTCCAAACTCCCCCTCGTATAACTGTGTTACCCAGATTGCCAGTCTTCTACAGAGTAACGCACTTTCGGCCACTCTGGCAGCAGCTGGTAATCTGACCACTGCGCCGTTAGGGGCCAACATGGCTGCAGTTCCTGCATCAGTCAGTCCTGCAGTTCAGAGTCCAAGTACAGTCACACAGCTGCTCACCAACAACACCAATGGTGCCATGGCATCATCTCATGTGAAAAAGTCCAAGAAGAACACGAAAGCACCAAAAGAGGAAACAATCCCCGAGATGAAAAAACCAAAGAAGAAGAAGGAATCCAGTTCATCCAAGAAAGCAAAGTCCTCCATGGTGACGGGACAGACTGTCGTGTTATCAGAGAATCCTCCCGTGTCTCCTGCTGAGAGCGCCCAAGCAATTATTAACCAAGCAATGGCTAGCAACTACACCCCCAAATGGACCGGTTTACGGACTATGAGTCCTTCTTCTCTGGTTCTGCCACCAGGCCTTTTGATTGAACCAGAACCTCCGGTGGTGCCACGTTCTCCTTCACCGACACCAGCCCCCGCACCTCGACCTCGCAGCCACGTCCGCATGAAAAGAGTGTCTTCCCTTTCAGATCGCATCATCACCAAGAAGTCTAAAGTTGACTTCCTGCCTCCAGAAGTCGTCAGTGAGGAGGAGGAGGAGGAGGAGCAGCAGCTTCGGAAACCTGCTTTCCCGAGCATCTCCAGCAGGGCCTCGGGAGTTCGCATCAAAACTCCAACCGTGAAAGGAATCCTAAACCTGGATGAGCTGAAGGAGGAGCACATGAGTGATTCAGAGAGCTCTGGGTAGGTAGATTGGGCTATGATTTATTTATATGCCAATCATGTCTGCTTTCTGTCATTTAAGGAGGAAAAGGAGAAAAATTAAGACTTTTATGACCAATGTAGAGTTTTGTTTTAGTGAAGCATGAATGATTTCCATTGTACCTGGCTTTCTGGACAGCAGTTAGCAGAATTAGAGCTTATGTACTGCTGGGTTGATGAGTTCACAGCTCATCCATATACGACCAGAACCATAGTTGCCATCTTTAAACAGCTTCAGTTTCCTACATTTCTCAGCAGTTCTTTGAAAGTCATTTTTAAGCCTTTGTTCTGCCATCGTTTTGGTGTTACATGATTATTTTGGAAAGAAATAGAACTGTGTGTGAATACTTGCATAACTCAAAATTGACAGTGGTGTGAAAATGCATGAAATGATGCATCAGCAAATGTTGGAGCACTTCTCGGGCATTAGCGGAGAGCCAGTGTATAGAATGTAAATGCCTTTTCTCTAAACAGAAGCCGTTCAGGAAGCTAAGCAGTGGGTAAGAATGTAATTATCAGTAAGTAAAGTGTATTTATATACAGGGTATCCGCGGGTCCTTAAAAAGTCTTAAATTAGCTTTTCCAAATTTAAGGTCTTAAAAATCCTTAAAAATGACAAATAATCCTTAAATACAGTTTCCAAAGGTCTTCAATGACCAAAGACCCAATAAACAAGATTCTTTTATTTCTATAAAATTTTCATGAATTTCTAGTTAGTGTTCAGCTTTTTTGTGTACGACATTGGCGTAAGCGGAACCGTACACATTCAGTTGGTTGTGAAAGGGGGCTATTTTTAGATGAGCAAATTAGCTGGTTAAGCTAGTGGGAGCTTGTGCCATAGGGAAGTGCAAGTTTAATGGTAACTGGATGGCGTGGTTCGCACCGGTTCCAGGCAATAGCTGGAAATTATAGCGTAAATTTGGTCAAAGTGGCCTTAAAAAAGGTCTTAAAAAGTCTTCATTTGGCCCCCTTAAGCCTGCAGATACCCTGTATATAACACTCATCACAGAAAGAAAGATCACAAAGAACAACAGTCAGTATGAGCAGCCATTCGCCACAACTCACTGGTCATTGAGAAGACGGAGCAGACACGCACACAAACAACATGTATACCAAGTAGTGTTTCTATTGGTGCATTGTGATTTCTTAGTAAATCATCTATTTAATAAGATTTAAACTATTGCTTTATCTGAGTGAATCTATCACTCAGATATGAATTCAACAGATGAACTAGTAGGACGACGGCCCCCTCCGTGAGGCCACCACAGCTCAGCAGAACGCCGATGTCGCTTCTTCTGAGGAGAAAAACACTTTGAGAGGAAAGTTACCAGCTAATATGATGCAATTAGAGAGCAGTGATAGAAAGTAGTAGAGTGTGGAAAGTGATCAGTATGTCCTCCAGCAGTCTAAGCCTATAGCAGCATAACAGCGCTAACTCAGGATAACCTAGACGGAGATGTGGGAGGCAGGCTGTAAACTCCACCTCCCTCTACTCCCCCACTCGTCCAAACCTCAGCTAACTTAATAAGAAAACATACGTTTCTGACTAAGGCACACATCTTTTAACATCATGCTTTGCAATTAGCTTAGAACATGTACACCGCTTACATGTTATCAACTAAATAACTTTAAAACATGTCCAAACATTCCCTAAACACATTGATGGTTACAATAAAAAATGTTCTTCGAGGCACAAACGTATGAAGCACATTCAGCGTGATATGTTTAGTCTCTCGTTTTTGCCTAAACACCAATAAACAAGTCACGTGATTGGAGAAAAACAAATCAAAGATGGGTCTGAGGTCAAAGCCTTCTCTTTCTCACATTTAGGAAAAAAATAATGTACAACAAAGGTGGTTTGTAACTGGGATGTCTTACTTTGATCCATTCTCCATATGAAAACATTTGAAAGCTTTTATCACTAATTAACTTGTAGCAAAAGGCATCACAGAGCATTTGTCAGGATTAGGGCTGCAACAAACGATTATTTGGATAATCGATTAATCGGATGGGGTCTCGACACGATTAATCGATTAATCGGATTACATGGGGAAATTTTTAAAAACTGCTAGGGAAACGTTATTTCTCTCCTTCCTTCACTTTATTTAACACAACATTATTAGAAAACAGTTCAATAGCAGAAAAACAACATGCCATCACCTAAATTGTCTTATAAGGTGTATAGACAGAGACCCTAAGCTACATCTATCTGTGACCTAAAATGCTTGGTCCAAGTTAAACAGCTTAAGGGCAATTCTCATCTGTTTTGTTTGATCTCATCTGTTGACATTTATTTTAAATGTAATTAAACATAGGCTGTGAATTTATCAAAATTGATCACTATTTCCAAAAATGACTGAAAAAATACCAAATAAAACAAAAGTAAATGAATGCCATCCTCCTTGCGATGATGCCCTGGGCAACTGCCATAAAGTCACATCAAGAAATGCTGCTGATCATTCCAATGATCCCAAATAGACTCACATTAGGCCACATGAAAGCAACTGAACCCAAAAATATATTAACCAGTATATAACTGCACTCTCACACAACACGCCTGCAGCAACAGTTAGGACTCCTCCCTCCCTTTTAAAAGCGTTTTTGCTTCTGAGGACATTGTGGTTGTAAAACCACATGCTAGTAGTCTGGCCCCGGTGTGATCAACCAGTTTCTGCGGGAATGTGACGGCGGAACCAGGGCCAGATTAACACTTTGTTGTACCCTGGGCAACAATATTCAAGGGCTCCATCATCACGACCCAAGGATCACCATAATGTGGTCACATACAGAATATTTTACTGTAATATGCAGTAAATATACTCAATACTTGAATGCCTGACAACACGTAACCCGCCCAGAGTAACCTTTGACCCACCTCGTGTGGACTGACCAATGAGGAGAGGGTCTTAACTTGAGGCCCTCTCTTCATTGGTCAGTCTGCATGAGACTGACTCTCAACTGACGTTCAGTCGTAGGCAGCGAAGCGTCTCTGTGCAGCGCAAAAGCCCGGGTGGACAGTTTGTTTAATGTAGGGTGACCATATTTCCATTTCCAAACAAGAGGACAGGGGATCTGTGCCTATGACGTCACACTATGGCAACGCCACACAAACCATGTTGGGACCCATTTTTTGTAAGAACTAAATTAATATCAGATTCTGCCAATTAAAGGGCTCTAAAACAATTCATATGTAAATATTTTGCATATTTAATGCAAAATCTAATTTTTCTGCTTTAGTGCTGCAACAAGGTTTTATTAATAATAAATTATTATACCTTTTGTTTTACTACAGCATCGGTAAGCTTCCTGTGCACAGATTATTAAGGATGCTTGTTTCAACTGTGAGATTAGACGATAGGATCAATGAAAAAATAAGTTGTCACAAACTCCATGGAAACTTTCAGAGAATCCACAAATAGTGGCTTTCAAATGGTTTTGTTACTTTTTGCAAGTTTATAAAATAAGCAGATGAGACAGCATGTCTGATAATTTAGTTTTTCATCTGATAATATTAGAGCATGTCAGTAATGTCTGAGGGGCTTTTATAAACACCATATAACTAACACTACTGGAGAGGGCATGAATTACACAGAGGCTTCTGGGGAGCCCAGTTATTGGGGGGGGGGGGGGGGGGGGGGCATTTTGCCTTGGCCCCCAAAATGTCTTGAAACGGCCCTGGGTGTGTGACTGAGTTTTGAAGGTGATCTGAATTGTATCAGATGTATAAATATTACATGTGTATAACTTATTGTTTTTTACTGGTAAAAACGTGTAGTGGAGATAAATCTACCTACATTTTACTTTTCAACACTTTGTTTTGTTTTCTTGTTTTTATTGAACTATTTTCCTGTCCTGTCTGTCTCTCATCTTCCTGCATCTCCTCTTAATTCTCCAGAAAATCTGTTGCCTGGATTCTTACCTTTTCACCTCATCAGTTACTTTTGAGCAGGTCAAAGGGATCTCCTGACCGAAAAGCGCAGAGCGCGTTTTCGATGCTGCGTGAGGTGACATCACCACAGCACAGGTGATGAGCTCCGCAGTAGCGAGCTTCAGGCACAAATAAGACAGAAAATAGAGAACATGTGCGGACATGAACGATCGTGTGCTAATTATAGTTTTTTGGTTGCGCCACTTTGAGAATGGACCGTGCGCTGGAAGCAGCTGCCTGGATCGCTGTGCAACAATGCGGAACCGGTTCGCAGCAGCTCAAGTCTGCCGGCTCTCCCTCGCGCTGATCTGCGGCTCTCCCTCGCGCTGATCTGCGGCTCTCCCTCGCGCTGATCTGACTTGCTCTGGTCTGCGCGCAACGGCGGGCGGGAAGGGGGGGCGCTTTTGGAAGAGTTGTGCGACACAACGAATCGATGACGCAATTCGTTGCCAACGCTTTTAGTAATCGATTTTCATCGAATTTATCGATTCGTTGTTGCAGCCCTAGTCAGGATTACCTCAGGGAAAATGTCACTCAGCTGCTGCTGGATGCAAACGAAACACGGCACTTTTTCCTAACTTAAAGGGACAATGTGTGGTTTTTATCATTAATCTCTGGAAACATCCATCAAAATTGTGTTGAAAATTAATGAAATGATGCCCAGTTGTTGAAAAATATTGGCAGCTTCTTAACACATAACCATAAAAATCAGGTCTAAAATACACGTGAGTGGGTCTAAAGCCTGTTTTATGCTTCTCCGTCTGCGTCAGTGCGTTGACACGCAACGCCATTATCCGTCCTTACGTAGGGCACGCAAGTACGTACGGAGTCGAGCCCACTTTTTTAAACATCCGTTGAACGAGACGGATTACGCAAGCTTGTGATTGGTCAGGACGCCGCTGTTGTTTACAGCGCCGCCACTGCAAAGAGAGCCGAGGATAACTAGCGGCAGACACGGAGAAACTTGAAGAATACTTTGCGAAAAAACTAAAAATATGAACGTTTAATTCTCCCGTGACTGGAGGAGTGAAAAGATGCGCAGCAAGCGTTTTATTTGTGGACAGAAATGACAGGAAACGTGGGTTTAGAGGTGGGGAGCGCATGAAGAGGTGGGAGAATGAGAGACAAATGTGTCCGTGTTAAAAGTCTCTTATATACACAAAAAACACAATATAAACACACGATCTTGGACCGATACATGACAGGATACCACAGAACAGCGCTACGCCCTCTGTTGTCCTGCTGGGCGATTGCTTTGCAACACTCTCCAGGAGACGGAGAAGTATGAGAGCAAAACGCTTCCGTCAATCCGTGCGTGTCTGTCCCTTGCGGAGCTGACGGAGAAGCGTGAACCAGGCTTAAGACTCAGGACGACTCCATATTAGATGCCGTGTTTCCTTCTACGGGAGCCCTTGAGGACAAAATGCATTTACTGATTTGTAACAAGTGGTTACTAAACTTTCACCATGCATAAACATACTTGTTTTACACATTTACCTCTTCACTCATTGCCACTGATGAAAGGGAGTCTAATGCGCTTGTCATTTAGCTGAAGTTTGCACTCCTCAGGGATTTTTGACCCTAATGGGCCTCCGTCGGTAAGGTCTTACTCCAACACAAAAATACAGCTTGCTTGCAACAATTCAGGTGTCTACTGCCCCCTATCACCAGGAAAAATACACACTGTCACTTTAAGTTGAAGTAGTAGTCCTTTTGCACAGATCAACATGCATGATGAAACGTGTAATGTTGATAAGCTGAAATTATTCTGTTTTTCTGTTTTATGATTGGGCCCCCCTGCATATGTCTGCATTGGTTCAAATCAGTATCGAAAATTAAGAGTTAAACAATATCGGTGTATTGGTAAAAAAGCCTATATCAAGTATTGCAATTAGAAAGCAAAATCAAATGTTGCTAATGATAAATGTGTAAATCTTGGCTTGTTTTGATCATATTTTGCAGATCGGAGCCTTGGAATTACTTATCTCAGGGCGAGCAAGGCAAACAGCCTGCATGGGAACCAGTGGGACACAACAACCTGACCGACTGGAAGAAATACTCTGGTAATCACAAGTTCGACTGTCTAATTGTATTACTTTTCTCATCTGTCCAAGTCCGGCACGTATGATGTGACACAAACTCTCTGCTTTAATGAGTCCCTTCAGGATTGTTGCAGCCTAAAAGGCCTGATCACATAATAACTTTGCAATGTGCTGAGTGACACATTCAGCTTCACCAGAAAGATAAGTTACAGACAAATTCTCACAGTTCTTGACAGACTAAATATGAAAGTGTTCTGCACAGCAGAGAGTTTCGTCTCAGAAGCCACGGATGAAAATTTAAGTAGGAAAGCGAGTTTTATTTTTATTGCACATTTGATGTCACAAAGTCCTTCACAAAAGAACAATTAAGTACACGAGAAAATGCATTTAGTAGTCAGAGAGAAAAACAAGATGGTCGTAAACAGACCTCGGTCTACTGTGGTTGAGAGATCATTCCAGAGTCTTGGTTCAACAGCCTGGACCAGTCCACGGGTCCTGGAGCCAGTGATGAGGATCCATATGTAGATTCTGGTCCATCTACCTCAACCTTCGAGAGGGAACGCAGGGATAGAAGTCTCTAATGTAGGAAGGAACCTGGCCATTCAGGGCTCTAAAAGTAATCAGCAGAATTTTATAAGGAGTGCCAAAAGTGATCCGGAGCCAGGAAACATGAGGACTTGTGTTGGTGTGGGTTAGGACCTTCTGCAGAGGAAATGGCAAATTCTCTAGACAAAACCATAAACTAGTACAACACTAGGGTTAGACATCGATCGAGACCGGTACTGACTGTCAGTTTTTTCCGGAATCGTTCAAATCTTTATTTTCGATTCCTAGTTTTGATTCCCAGGCCACTGACCATAAGAACAATCCGCGGCTGATCTCCGTGGGGGAAAAAATGTGACCTTCAAATTTGGATCAATGCCTTTTAGAGACAATCACACAACCTGTCTGTCGCTTCTACTTTGCAGCGAGCAGAGACCCAGGAGCTCGGCGGCTACTCCCCTCGTGATCATGACACCTTCCTCTGTTGCATCAAGGTGCAATCGCCGTTTGTGAGACTGACCGTTATCACATTATTACGCAAAATTTACGCATCGCCATGCCGGCGTGGCACATTTATAAAACACACCGTTGCAGTAATATTACACTGATTTGCTGGCACGCACGGTGTGTGTTGTAACAAGGGCTGATGGGAACTGGACTCGAAACAAGGAATTGGAACCGGAATCGTTCAAATTCATACTAACTATGCCCAACCCTAACAGACACAAAGACATGGACAACATCATCTCTGGATGCCAGGGTTAGGGTTAGGGTTGCTGTTTTTGTAGCAAGATATTGAGAGTTGTATTCCAGGGTATTTTTTCTCCGACGGCAACATCTAGTGGCTGACAAACACCTTAAGAAGTTCTCATCATTTCCATATTTACGGACAAAACGCCTCCCGTTTGTGAACGTGCACCTCTAGCCAGCAAACACGTCGTTTCACAATTATTGTTCTCGTGTTTTTCTGACTTCTACATGAGAATAGTCACCAACTCTGGTGGTGGTCGGAGGGACCAGGGGCGCCTGTGCTTGGTAGTGTGAGTGTGTAAATGACTGGTGTATTGTAAGGTGCCTTGGGGGGTTGTAGAACCCTAGAAGGCACTAAATAAGTACAGACCATTTATCATTAATGAAAGGTTCTTCTGAAGGAAAGGAAAGGTATGTAAAAGTGCATTTATTGTAGCTCATGCTTATGCACATCTGGAATACACAAGATACTCGGATAATCATTTTTCACCGATACGGGAAGTTTTATTCAATACAATAAAGTCATTGCCGATTAATATTCCTAAAAAAAAAAAAATTGAGTTGAGGACTGCAACCGAGGAGCAAAGTGAAGCCAAGCAGAAGTGGCAAGAAGGGCAGCTCCCCTCTCATCCTCTGGGACAGTGGTTCCCATCTTGTCATCATGGCTTGTCTGGCACACAGGAAAGGGGGTCCTCATGAAAGAAGGTTGGGAACCACGGCTCTAGGAGCTAGATCCAGAAAGGATCGAGTTTCCATTGCCTCTCATGTTAAAAATGCCAGCTTCGTAGCAGAAACAATCGTGTTTACAGCCTGGTTAAAAAGTCATTCTAGGTTTAATAGGCTAAGTCTACAGTCATATCAACTTAAGCCGGGCGTACACTGTGCAACTTTTTCACTCGTAGCACTCAGCTTCAGCTCAAACTGTACGACTTCCGCGCAGAGCAGATCTCACGAGTCAGGCGCTCACACTGTACGACCCAGTTCTCGGATGCGACCTGACTGCTCACACTGTACGTCTGGTAGCAACATGTCGGCCTTAAAAATATGCTAAAAATAGCAGTTTTTACACAACACGTCAGACTTTTTTGTCTTGCCTGTTGTCCTTCGGGAGTGCTGCAGGAGGACACACAGGGATTTATGGAGGTTGGATGAGGAAAACGAAATAAAGAAAGTAAATCTGTGTTTTGTGATCAGTTTAGTTTGACATGAACACGACAAACACGCTTTCTTGACAATCTTTGTGAGTAAAAAAACGTGTAGAAACAAAAACGAACAGCGTGTGTTATTAGGGAAATAGCGGGCGAGCGGCGTTGATGCAGGATTGCGCATGCGCCGTGAGCAGTTCTGATACATTTTGGGTCGCAGCTGCTCGCAGCGCCGCTTCAACAGTGCGATACCCTCACGAGGGACGAGCAAAATATCAAACACGCCAGAAGTCCGTGCGATCTCACGACTGCTGATCGGCAGCTGGTCACGTGGTGTTAATCGCCTCTCGTAACCCCCTGTACACTACACGACGCTCAGCGCAAAACTCGCCCCGATGTCGTGGCTTCTCGCACAACTGGAAAATCGGCTCAAAAAAGTGAAAAAGTCGCACAGTGTACGCCCGGCTTTAGAGGAGGGTGAATTGTTTGGAACTGATCGGTTTAGATGTAACTTAAGCTTGAAAACATGAATAACTGGGCGTGTCCTTTTGATTGACAGGTAGCAGATGAGACGTCAGCTCTAGCGACTTCCCTCCCTGCTTGCTCCAGGGAAGGTCTCGTTTGTTGAAAGTGCTACAGACTAGAGAGCAGAGGGTAGCAGAGTCACTCAGCCATGGGTTTCTGGCCATGTCCGCTTTAAGCCTGGTTCATGCTTCTCCGTCAGCTCCGCAAGGGACAGACACGCACGGATTGACGGAAGCGTTTTGCTCTTTTACTTCTCCATCTCCTGGATAGTGTTGCAAAGCAATTGCCCGGCAGGACCACAGAGGGCGTAGCGCTGTTCTGTGGTATCCTGTCATGTATCGGTCGTTTATATTGTGTTTTTTGTGTATATAGTAGACTTTTAACACGGACACATTTGTCTCTCATTCTCCCACCGCTTCATGCGCTCCCCACCTCTAAACCCACGTTTCCTGTCATTTCCGTCCACAAATAAAACGCTTGCTGCGCATCTTTTCACTCCTCCAGTCGCGGGAGGATTAAACATTCATATTTGTAGAGTTTTTTCGCGAGGTATTCTTCAAGTTTCTCCGTGTCTGCCGCTAGTTATCCTCGGCTCTCTTTGCAATGGCTGCGCTGTAAACAACAGCAGCGTCCTGACCAATCACAAGCTTGCCTAATCCGTCTCGTTCTACGGATGTTTAAAAAAGTGGGCTCGACTCCGTACGTACTTGTGTGCCTGCCGGAGCCCTACGCAAGGACGGATAATGGTGTTGCGTGTCTCCGCACTGACGCAGACGGAGAAGCACAAATCAGGCTTTAGTTAGCTCAGTTAGCTCGTAGCTACACCATCTCATAGTTTGATGAGTGTCATTCATCAGCACCCACCCTCAGAGCCTCGCTCTCAGCTCCATTTTTTTATTGTCTGGTGGTGAGATGTATGACTTTCCCAAGATGGCGGTGGTGGGAACTGCCACTCTTCAGAAACCTACGGTTGATGGCGTGGAGGGTTTGTCCATTATCTCTACAGTCATTGGCTGCAGCACGACACAACATGACCTTTCATCCTGTGTGCACCAAGGCTGAAAATGTGTTTAGTTGGATCATTTGTCATGAAGTTTCAGCAGCATCCTGTTTGGTGACATGAACGCCACTTTGTAATCTCATTACAAAGTTTTCTCCCAGGAGCTCGATGTTCCATGCTGTGAACTCCGTTTTATCATTTAATATTTAGGGAAATTGATCATTTTACTTCAAAGGTAACAACAGGCCAACGCAGCCCTCTGGTGTCCAACAGGCTTTGGTCTTACAAGCTTGACTTTAAAACAGTGAAGTTGGTCTAGGGGGTTGTAGGTGATTTGCAGTGGTTGGTAAAGATTTGCGATCCATGCAAAGTCTGTGGGTGTTTGCTTAATCTTTGTGTTTATCGTTGCGGTTAAAACGTTGTGTTTGTTAGGCGCTGCTTCTACAACTGACGATGAGACATCATCATTTGAGGATGATGAAGTATGTCCAACTAACAAAGAGCAGCCACACTTGAGGTTCGAGATCACCAGCGATGATGGTTTCAGTGTAGAGGCAGACAGCATCGAGGGTAAGTCAGACATGTTTCTCTTTTTGCTTCAAAATGACTGAAACTATTCAGCTAAATCTAATTTATTTCTTCCTTCAGTGGCTTGGAAAGCGGTGATACACGGCGTGCAGGAGGCACGAGCCATAGCGAGGCTTCGGCCGCTGACCTTTCAGAAGATCACGGGCGCCCAGATGCTTGGACTGGTTCACGATGCTGTTGTGTATTTACTGGAACAACTTGAAGGGGCTAATCGCTGCCAGAGGCATTCTTTCCGTTTCTTCAAGCAGTTCAGCCAGGAAGACGATCTCCCTGTGAATCCCAGTGGTTGTGCTCGATCTGAGCTCTATGTGAGGTAAGTTTTCATGTCGTTAGTGGTAACAAGGACTTTAAACAAGCACTAAAGCATAGAAAAAGATAACAAATCAACATAATATGGGAAATTTCTGGGGAAAACTACCACAGGAAGACCATGGGAAATGGATAAAATATGGGAGCGTCTCAGCTAAAATGGGAGACTCGGCAGCTATGGTTCTGAGGTATAAGCATGGATTACCATAAAGCTTCTAGGAGACATGTGACTCGGCATGACTTCAGGTCACCGATCTGGAGAGACTAAAGTTGCAGATGTAGTATTCTGCCCACAAGAACAGATTCTTCCAGCCTGTAAAGGGTCATTTAGCACCTATTAGTAGGGATGTCCCGTTCCAATATCGTTATCGGAAGTCTTTCGATATCAGCCCAGAAACACTATCGGATTATGTCAGACCGCATCAAAAATGTCCGATATAAAAGTTCGTTCCATCAGCGCCCAGCTCTAGCATGCAAATCCCACGTGATCACAACAGTGCGTGCAAGCAAAGGAGCAATGTCAACCGTGTGGCAAGTCGGGTGGCTCAGTGCAACATTGGCCGTGCGCAAGTTTCCGATGGCGGAACCGGACCAGGTCCGTTTTTTATGTCCAACCTCACAAACACTGCATGAGGATTTTATTTTATTCCTTATTTTTTATTCATTTGTCATACTTCATGTTTAAGGTTCACATTTATGCAGCCAATGGTTAACAAACAAGTAGTGATTTATTTTCATACTTACTGTTATTGGCTTTTGTTCTCCGATCGAGTAATATCACTTCATCAAGCCTTTCATACATTCCACACTACCAAATAGCTAAAAGTGTGTATGACTCGTGCTGATGTCGTGTCAGATTGGTATCGGTATCGGTTAATACCAAAAGCTGCAATATCGGTATCGTGTAGGAAGTGAAAAGGTTGCATCGGGACATCCCTACTAATTAGTATAGAGCATTTGTCGTTTATTGCCTTAGAAATGATTTAAAAATATGACAAAACTGCTTAGTGTACTTTTTAGACGAGACACGACGCACAGCTCAATTTTGAGAGATCCTGATGAAACTCTGTCCGGGGTGAGAGACTAATGTGAATAACTAGCTGGTTTCTTAAACCTTGGGATGTTGGCAGAGCCAGTTTAGAGCGGACTGTTTCTAAAGTTAGCTAAAGAAAAAGAGACTAAACTGATCCGAACCTAACTCTTGTTATTTCCTGTTTTTAGGAAGTCTACATTTGATATGTTCAACTTTCTGGCTTCTCAGCACAGACAGCTTCCTGATATCAGCCCGTATGATGATGAGGAAGATGAAGTTCTTTTGAAGTCCACAAGGTCGGGCCTGATTATTACAGCCATCTGTGTTTGGGTCAGCATGTGTTCATTTAGCCAAGCCGACGATGTTGGTTCTTTTCCTGTATGTTCTTTAACATCAGCTAATATTTTTCTGTGACTGCTGTTTATGTTTATTATTTACTTTTTTGTAGCCTGATGTCTGAGCTGCTTATATTTGAACTAAACTGTTTACCTCACATATGAACTGTGTTTACACGGGCTGAAACGTGTTTAAAGTGTGGAACACTGAGAAAAAAAAACAGTTTTAAAGTCTTACTTCTGATTATAATCAGTCACTCAGCGTTTTTCATGCAGGCTGAGCATGAAAATAGTCTCCTACACTTATCCCCTTCATTAGCTTCTGATAGATAATAAACTCTCGGATTGGAAAATCCTGACAGATCTACGTCACACTGTCGCATAACCTTCGTGGACTCACCCACTGACTTGTGACGGGGTAGGCTGCTGTTGGTTTAGCGTCCAGGAAACCTCAGAGAACGTCTCGACTAGTAGAAGTTAAATGTTAGCGTTATCAACTCCACCACATAGTAGAAGTCCTTCATGCTTGTGTTATTTGTGGAGATAAAACATCAATGTTGCAAAGTAAACAGAGGTTGTGCTAGAGTTGTGTTGCTGTTAGCCAATCAGAGGCAAGATGTTCAAATCAGGAAATAAGACTGCAGATCTGAAGCTCAACTCTGATGTGGCTCACCTCTGATGCCCAAAGTTAAAGACCAAGTTTACTGTTTTTGTTTACATTAGCAGTGACCTCTGGGAGTTCCTTATTTCAGGAAGTAGCAGTTAGTCGGTGGAGAGGGGAGCAGAAAACGGCTGCATGTGGAGTCCTACTCTATCATTTCCTGAACCAGACATTTCACCTCTTATTGGCTGAGAGCAACGCGACTCAACCACTGACTCCTTTGTTTGCGTTGCCGTGTGGTGGAGTTGCTAATGCTAACAGTTAGCATCTACTAGCCAAGACATTCCCCGCTGTTTCCTGGATGCTAAATCAACAACAGCCTTCCCTGTTGTGAACCAAGATGGGTGAGTCCATGAATGTTAAGTGGCAGCGTGACATAGATCTGTCCGGCTGTTCAAATCCTAGAGTTTCAATTCAATTCAAGTTTATTTATAAAGCGCCAAATCACGACAAGAGTCGTCTCAAGGACCTTCACATAATAAACATTCCAATACAGGTCAGTTCATTAAGCCAATCAGTAAAATGTTTCCTGTATAAGGAACCCAGCAGGTTGCATCGAGTCACTGACTAGTGTCAGAGTCTTTACAGCAATCCTCATACTAAGCAAGCATGCAGCGATAGTGGAGAGGAAAACTCCCTTTTAACAGGAAGAAACCTCCAGAGAATCCTGGCTCAGTATAAGCAGCCATCCTCCATGACTCACTGGGGATGGAGAAGACAGAGCAGACACACACACACACGGTTACATTATGATTTCTTAGTAAATATTGTATTTAGTGAGAGATAACCTTTATTGTATTTATCCTAGTGAATCTATAATTAATCCAACAGGTAAACTAGTAGTAGCACATTCCATGTCAAAGAAAGTTAAATGTTATCAGGGATGCCCCGTTCCGATATCGATATCAAAAGTAATTCACTGTATCGGACCGCATCAAAAAGCTCCAAAATAAGCAGTCTAAGGTTCACGTTTTTGCAACCAATGGTTAAAAAAAATCTTTATTTTTTCATACTTAATGTTATTGGATCTTGTTCTCCGATTGAATAATATCACTTGATCAAACTTTTCATACATTCAAGTTTATTTACATAGCACCAAATCACGACAAGAGTCGTCTCAAGGCGCTTCACACAGTAAACCGGTGGCGCATGTGCTCGGCAGCCTCGCCTCTGTCAGTGCGCCCCAGGGCAGCTGTGGCTACATTGTAGCTCATCACCATCAGTGTGTGAATGTGTGTGTGAATGGATGAATGATACACTGTAGTGGAAAGCGTTTTGGAGTCCTTACTCTGAGAGGCGCTATACAAGTGCGGGTCATTTAACATTTAAACGTTCTGCACTACGAAGTAGGTAAAAGTATGTATGTGGGATTTTTGCTGATATTGTATCGGATTGATATCGGTATTGATAAATACCAAAAACTGCAATATCGGTATCGTATCGGAAGTGAAAAAGTTTTATCGGGACATCCCTACTTCTTATCAGAGGAGGGAGAATGTTTATTTTCTATTTTTGCTTTTTAGCACAACACCCATCTCTCTCAGCCGTCTGTTGTGTTTATAACTGGTTCGCTACATGGAGACCTACATTTTCACTCATGACTCTTGCCTTTTTCAATCACATCAATAATATTGATGTGGAAAATGTATACATCTGTTACATGAGCCAGAACTTGCTTCGTAGGTTCTCACTACGATCTCCGTGTCAGCTTCACCATTTTGTGACAGAAACGTACCTAGAGAGCCAGACTGTGGTCTGATTATCACCAGCTGTTGCGTTTGAACCAGTGTTTACGTCGTTCTGCTCTCTTAGTGATGACTAATAACAGAATTTATCTTTCAACTTAATGACTCATAACTTCATTCTCCTTTTCACCTCCTTGCCGTTGTGATGAAATGTGTGTGCAGATACGTTTTAACAAGCCTTTAAACTTCCGTCAGCCTGGTGAGAAACGTGGCTAGATGTTGGCGTGCTGGGGTGCATCTGAGTAAACAGCAGAAAACTGCAGTAAACATGCATTTTTGTTCTTTTCTTACACAGTTTTAGTAACAAATGAACACAGAATGAACGTCAAAATGAGTCTCTGTAAACATGCTGGGGGAAAAATACACAACGATCAGCACCAGCAACAACTTGTGACATCATGATGGTTCTGGGTTTCAGCTCAGGCTTCATAAAGCCACATGTTTTTTCCATCAGAACTCACAACTTGACTGTTTTCCAAGCAAAAACACGTTTGTTATTGCCACAGTTGAGATGTGTTTTGCTGTTTCTCTTTTCTCAGACGAGCCACCAGCTTGGAGCTGCCTATGGCCATGCGTTTCAGACACCTGGAGAGGACGTCTAAGGAGGCTGTGGGGGTGTACAGGTCAGCTGCAAATGCAAAGCTCTTTAGGAGCTTCCTTTAACAGCCAAACCTCTTTAGGTATATGGCATAGTGGTGCCAGCGTTAAAAACAAGCTCACAAACCAAACGAAAGGCATCGATCTTCCTGTTATTAGAAGTAAAAGGAAACATCTGTGTGCCCTTTTGTTATAAACACCCCACAGCTGCCCAACACTTTGTGTACATACAGTGTTTTTCTGTCTTTCGTACAGTTTCTGGTCAATCTTGTCCTAACACAATAAAAGAAGGAACATGCTTTCATAAACTGATTTAGTCTGGATAAAATTAAGACCAGTTTCACATAAAACCAGCAAATTCAACTGAAACTCGATGTGGATGAGCTCAAAGTTTCTGATATCCAGATAAGTTTTAGAAAGAAGCACATATTTAGACCGGTTAGTTTTAAAAACCTGTAAAATAGTCATTTAATCTGTTTATGACTTTTTACATCAACTACACAATTAGAGCTGGGCGATATAGCGTTAAATCAGTAGCGGCTCACCTTGATAACGACAAATACACAACTACTCATACACACAAAACAAGTGTTCTCCACTAGATGGGGCTGTGGTGGCATTATTGCTCCACAGCCAGTTTTATTGATGGGCTTAAGCCAACTGCACACGGGAAGCATCAGCGGTGCGGAACGTCATTAGAGTCTACGGGGGTGGTGTTATTGACGCGAGCCGCTTCTGGGACACGACAAATTTTGCAGTTAATATAGGGCTAGACAGGAAGTCACACATGGCCTCGGTGTAAAAACCCCAGTAATTTTCAAAATAAAAGTATGCAGTGATGCGATTTCCTGTCTGTGTAGATCACACCAATACTAGCGACCTAATGGCTGATTTACTTCCTGCATCATTCCAGAAGTGCAGCAGTGCGTTTTCATGGCTTTAATTGTGACAGTGGAGAGGAACAACATCATACATGACATCAAACGTGATTTCCTTCTTTTTGGTTTAATGGCAGACGGCATAAACTCGAGGGATTTTGTGATATCTCGTGAGTCGAGTGAGGAGCTCAGCAGAGAAGCTGCTTCACGGCTGAGGCTCTCCCGGTTTGGACTGAAGTGCAGCCATTGCTGCGAGGAAACCTTTTCGCTGCTGTTCCGCTCCACTGATGCTTCCAGCGTGTCGTAGGGGTTCTTCTCCTAGACTACTAAAACCTCCAAATCACACCTGTAGTCCTGCGATGCTGTTTTACTAGCCAGCACTAGTGACGTGTCCTGTGTGTCGGGTTATCTGGGGAGATGACCCGACACAGAAGGCTGGTTTTGATTACGTATACGGTGATGTTCGAGGCCCCGCCTCCAGACCACACAGGATTCCTAATAAATGGGCATTAAAACAGCTGATTTTGTTGTGGAGTTGTATTGCATTATGTTAAAAGGCAGATTAAGGCAATATTCAGAATTTAAATATTGGCATGGATTTGCTGGTCGATCCACGTTCCTACCCTCACCTACGGTCACGAGCTCTGGGTAGTGACCGAAAGAACGAGATCGCGGATACAAGCGGCCGAAATGAGCTTTCTCCGCAGGGTGTCTGGGCTCTCTCGACTTAGACCCGACTCCGGATAGGCGGAAGAAAATGGATGGGCGGTTATTGACATCACAAACATTTACTTTTTCAGTTATAAGATTCACTCGTCACATGACTAGAATCACTGTGCCTCTTTTACTTAAATCGTCCACTTGAGGGCGCAGTAGAGCAAATGAATCATCTGTGTCTGGAATCACGAGTCGCCCAGTGGAAAGCTTCAGTTCCTCACAAGGCTTCATCTCACCGTCACCAGCAGGCACCTTAGCGGAGTGGTGGTTTTCACCCAGAAGGGGGCGGAGCATTGAGCTGGATGTGCCGCTCTAATCCAGTGGTTCTCTAGCCTGGTCCTGGAGGGCCGGTGTCCAGCGGGTTTTAGTGGTTTCTCTGCTCCGTCACACCCGATTTAGCGTGTGAATCTGCTGTGCAGCAGCTCACGCACACGCCTGTTAATCACCCGCTGATTAAATCAGGTGCGTTGGAACAGGGTTAAGGCCCAAACGTGCTGGATACAAGTGAGAGAACCAGCGCTCTAATCTGTCAGACTCCCATTACAATGTCTTTGGTTTCTTTTAGGATTCCAGGTAACTGCTTGAGACTCCCTTTTTACCTTTTCACACGCTTTGCTGCAGGTCTGCCATTCATGGGCGCGGTCTGTTTTGTAAGAGGAACATCGAAGCTGGAGAGATGGTCATCGAGTACGCCGGCATCGTCATTCGAGCAGTGCTCACTGATAAAAGGGAAAAATACTACGACGGAAAGGTTCGTCACCCCTGCTGTGTTTTAGCTCGGCCTTGTTTCATATGAGATGTGATTATCAGGAGTCTGAGCTGAGACGGTAATGTTTTCCAGGGTATCGGCTGTTACATGTTCCGCATCGATGACTTTGACGTGGTGGACGCGACCATGCACGGCAACGCAGCTAGATTCATCAACCACTCGTGCGAACCCAACTGCTACTCGCGGGTGATCAACGTGGAAGGTCGGAAGCACATCGTCATCTTCGCTCTCAGGAAGATCTACAGAGGGGAGGAGCTCACCTACGACTACAAGTTCCCAATTGAAGATGCCAGCAACAAACTGGGCTGCAACTGCGGAGCCCGGCGTTGTCGGCGATTCCTCAACTGAGAAGGAAAAGGAGGGGTTTCCTGTTTACTATGAAACCTTAAACGAAGGCAGTGCTGCGCTGGGCTTGGGGGATGAGCCACTATGACACTGGCTTGGTTCACGAAGGGGAAAACACTTTCGTTCACTTTTATTGAGAAAGGTTTTTGAACATTCAACAAACCCGAGAATTTGTTTTCCATCCTAAGTCCTCGGCGAGTTAACATCGACTAACCGAAGTGTTTTGTGAGTTTGTAAAAGCTGCTTCATCGGCACGATCTCGTCACGACCTCAGACGAGACAAACTGCAACAAGCAACTCAAAATTGTTGCAGAAATGTAACGCAAGCCCGGTAAAACACCTTCTGCAGCGTACTTTTCCATGTGAGAACACTCGCCTGTGCTGCAGAAGTGGTGCGTAACTGAGGTGGTGAAGAGGAAACAGGATTTCTAGACAAACGCCAACAAAAGAATTCTGACACACTCGCCAAGCCTTATATGTTTGGATCATTGCTGAACATTTAGATTTTATCGTTTTGTTGTCTGGGAGGGATTCTCTGTTTTTGAGCGCTCCAGGCTCTCGTGGCGGTGCATCGTAGCGCCATCTGTGCAGTGGTGAAGTCCGCTTGTGAGCCATACATTCACCCGAACCTTTGCTTTCATTCAACTGTTTCCTCTCATTTTTAAATGTACATTTTGTTAATAACGAAGCAAACCATGGTGCTAAGCTTTGAAAGCTTTTTTTTTTCTTTAGCTGGACTAAAATCTCACAAATCAGGAAATTGTCTGGCTGCATCTCCCCCCTGCTGAGATTACGCTGGTAAACTTATGCAGCTCTGTTAACATTACCTGTGCTAAGTTTTACGTTTAGCACCAAATAGCCGAGTTTTCGTCCATTTGCTTCCAAGTTATGGTTTCAATCAGTAAAGTTTCATTCTTTAAAAAAGGAAAAACAAAAAAAAGTGTCTTAAAAGACAGTTTTTGCTCAGTGTACAGAGTATGTAGCAAACACTACCCAAGCCCAAAGTGAAGATTTGTGGAGGAAATAACGTTAAATTTCTTGTTTTATTCTCTCGACAGATGCTTATTACCTATTGCAATAAGACTCTTGCGCCGCCCTACACATGAATGATCATCCAACACAGAAACCACACCTGCTACACTTTATTTAAATCAGGGAGCACGCTGGGGGCTGATGAAAAAAATCATTGCTACTGAGTACATTCAGCACCTTTAAATGATGTTTGATGTTGTGAGTGGACATTCAGTGCTGTTAGTGATGAGGCGAGTTCAAATCACACACTGTTCCTACTGGGAGTTGTATTTATTCATGTTTTGATTTTCTATTTTAACGGTTAACGCCCGTGTTGTGGCTAACTGGTGGCGGTCTAGTGTGTCTGTAGATTCCCCCGTTGACATCTTTTGTTTTGTTTACAGACGATGTCCTTTTTTCACTTATTTACTTGAAATTTCTTTCTGGACTGTTGTGTCAGACATTTAAGCCTTTGTGACAGGACTGGTTTTGAAGCAGGTATTTTTTTCTTTTTTTTTTACATTTTTAATAATATTTTATAATTATAAAGTACTGAAGGTCTTAGAATTAGCCACGGGGTAAAGTGAGCACTGTTTGCCTATTCAAGCCCATCATCGTCTCTTTTCAAAGTTCATACAGCAAATTGACCCCCCCCCCCCCCCGGCAGTTCGTGTCAATCACAAGAGCAGAGTCACTTCCAGCTCCTAGCAAGGATTCTACCTCAGCTGTTCACACAGATGTTTGGGGATACTGATGCAAAAAGAGACTTTGAAGATTTAAAAATCGCTCAGTTTTAATATCCGTGTGTGTGTGTGTGCGTGTGTGTGCGTGTGTGTGTGTGTTGGATGCACTAGACAAACACAAGTTATCATGACCATCTCTCCCAGGATTTGTTAAAAGAAAGCTGTATGTTATATATACACACACACAACTATATATATATAGATATAAATATATATATATATATATAAATAGGGTTATTTTAAAGTAAGTGTAAGACATCCAAATGAGAAATGTGCTCTTTAAATTTAAGTCTTTGTTACCGTGTAAAAAAAAACCTTGGGTTTGTAAATATTTGTATATATATTTCTAAACCTGTTTAATTTTCTATGCACTTTTTTATTTATGATGTTGCTCAATAAAGACGTTAAGATGTTTGAACAAAGTTGATTGTTTATTGTAATCACTTGGAGTAGAAGATAACCGACGTGATGAATGTTGTTGACTGGAATATTAAAGGGACTTTACGGAGTTTTGAATTTTTATGCTCGCGATTGCCCTCTCAGGCCAAAAGCGTAACGGCAGCTTCAATAGTAGGCTCGTGCACGAGGCGCGCATGCTGTACGTGCACACTCCTTAACGAAAATAACGGCTGAGACAGTCCTGTGTGTGTGTGTGTGGCCCGGAGGACAGAGGACAGGAGAACGCGCAGCTAATTAATTAAATAATTTGGTTCTGTACCTTTCTCTTCAGCACAGCCGACAAAGGTTTAAGATGGGTCAGTCCTCCTGCATGCTCAGATCATTCCCTTTCCTTGCTTGAAAAATTGTTCCAAAATGAAAGTTGAACCCACATCTTTTTTATCTGTGAATTCAATGCCGTTCGGCGAGTCTCAAATAAAAATGTGGGCATCTTACTGTAAAAAAAAACCCATTAATGTAAAAAAGAAACTAAATAAACTATTTTTGCATCCAGAATCGAACCCAGGTCTCCTGCACAAGAGTCAACCATCTTACGAGGTGAGCTATAGAACCAACAACATTTTCTGTATCTGTAACATTTATTTCCTTGATGACAGCTGAAACAACGTCAAACCAAAGAACGGTTCTGAGCGAAAATGGCTATTTTGTTGCTAATTTGCAGGAAACATCTAGAAGAAAGTTCTACAGAAAGAAGCTAAGGGTCCTCAGAAATGTAGCTAGGTTTGTCACTAGGCGTTAGAAACAGCGACAAAGTGGCACTGCCTCTCTCTCTGCTGCTAAAGCTACGGATAGCAAATGCTACGGGCTATGCCTGAGCGTGAACGCGCATGAAGCAGCCTGCTCGACCCGAGCATCTCTCTTTTTCTGTGATTTAACAGAAAAACAGGCAATCACAGTAAAAATGCCAGGGCTCATTCTACAGGACCAGGGCATTGCAGGAGAATGTATGAAGAAGACATTTATTATTTCTATACATGTTTTGGCTGTCAAACTTCCTTATAGTCCCTTTAAGTAAGTTTTACATTTTTGTAGGAATTGTGCCAGTTACAAGGATGTCAGTATAAAAACAACAGAGGCACTCTTGTTGTTTCACTCAGTCATCAACAACAGAGGCAGAGGGAGGAACCAAAAACCGATGTTTCCTCTAACAAACCGCTAGCTGTTAACATCTGTAACCGCCGGTATTTACTGAAGCCTCGTGCTGCCAAAACAGCAAACATGTCATCAAACTGCTGAAGAGTTTTATGAACAAAATGTTTTGTTCTTTTTACATTTGTAAAACATTAAAAAGACAATAAAAACTTTGCAATATTCTGTAAAAACAAACATGTTGGAATTAGATAAACACAAAGGCACCAAGAACCTGAAATAATACTGTATGCATAATACTTTATACTCTTTCACAGTGGAGGAAAAATCAACTTCACATTATGTGATCCCTTTGGTTGTTTTGCTGAGGTGGAAGCAACATACATATAAAACATACCTTTCTGTGTGTGTGTGTGTGTGTGTAGGAGAAAAATATTTCTCACTGCATGTCATGTATGGAAGGCTGTTGATGCCATCAGACAAAAAAAAGCCATTTCATGTATTTTCATTAACATGGAAAATGCCAACTTGAGATCTGTCACTGCTACAGTTTAGAAGTAATAAAACACACACAACCCATTATAACTCAAGTTTTTTTTTTACATTTTAAGTCATTATTTAGATGACAAAAAATTCCATATGAAAACCTTTGGTTAATATGTCAAATTCTTTATTTCATTTCTGAGTGAGTGTCCTCTGCATAATACAAAAGTCATCTAATGGTTACTTTTAACACACACAGGCTCTTAAAATACTTTTCTTCCAATGAAATGTTTTTTTTTTCCACTTTTCAAATTGCCAGCAATTTCAAGTTTCTAATCTTTGGTGCGATACGACTTTGTTTTTGTTTGTTCTTCGAGTGGCTGCAGCATGCTTCCACAACCATCTCACCCTCCCACCGAGACTAGACAGGACAGCCAACAGGGCGTCTCTTCTGATCAGGTCAGGATGTTTCCTTTTCCACTGATTGAGTTTAAACTTTTGAGTCTTTCTTGTTTTTCACCGTATCAACAGTCATTTGGCCAAACTCTTAGCACTCCATGTGTAGCACTAATGTTTTTATCATGGACAGCCTGCAGAAATAAATCTGCTCTGCTTCTATCATTGAAGGAGCTTTGTTCATCTGCACGCTCTTGTGAAGCCATTCGCTGACTTAGCTGGAAGCGGCAGTGATGGAAATCAAAGCACAACCGGCTGTGAAAGTAGCACATACAGGATCGTCGACTAGCTACCACCTCGCATGCAAGGGAATTTTACTTGTCACGTACTTTTGAACACTGCAGTTTGTAAAAGAAAAAAGGAAAGAGCCCGTAACTTTTACCTGGATATAGGGAGAGGGCAAACAACTTCTAAAGAACCAGTTGCACATGTGGACTGGGCTTGAGTTTGGCAAGAACCACAACAGCGTCATTGCGATCTATTTGTCTGAGCAGCTTGGCCAGGTGGCCCACCGTCCAGTCAGGGTTCCTGCTGGTGAGCCCCTCCAGCACAGCCCTCAGGGGGCTCTTACTGTCCTTCATAGAGTAGGTGTAAGTGATCCAAGTGGAGGGGAAGGAGCAGTGGGAGGCCAGGTGCTTCGTGTTCTTCAGTCCTCGAGTGTCTGGATCCAATAAAATCACCAGCTCTTCCAGCACATCCAGATTGTCCAGCACAGTCTGTAAAGGTGCTGACCGGATGTTCTCATCTAAAGGACAACATAGGGATGTGTTCGATTCAAATATGGCTGCAGAACTGGGAGGAAAAAATGCTCCATTTCAGAGTAACTTTTCTAGAATAGACCAGTGAGAAGACGCGGATAAAGCTGCAGCTCTTCTTTGCTGTGAAACAGAGACTTTGACCACAAAGCGTCATGACTAACATCTAAACTCTCAAACATGATTTATTTCTCCGTAAAGTCACTGAAAACGATCTGAGTGAAAAAAGTGAAATCTGCATATATAAGATGGTGAAACGTGAATTCAAACGTGAACATTTACAAATGGATATTTGCGAGATAAGCAAGGTCTGACTGTTTTAAACCTGGGTAAGCAGTCTGGGTTTTCCAGCTGGAGAAAAGTTTTAGACTAAACCAAAAGTTTGGGTGAGAATAGAGAAAGGTCCGTTTCCACCTACTGAGAAGGTCTTCCAGATCATTGTCCCCCGCTGCAAAGGCGATGGGATGGAAAGCTTGATTTGCAAAAGAGGGTCTTTTTTTAAAGCACATCTTTGTGCACTGACCTTTAATAAACAGAACCATGCGATTATTTACAATATCACGTTTCATTTTACAGGCTCACATTCCAACAGGTAGAATACAAACCTCTTTTTCCTTTCATTCTGAGGATTAACAGCGTACATGTGATGAGCAGCATGAAGAAAACAACAGGTAAGGCCCCTGTAAAAGCACACAGATCAATAAGTGCACACCTAAGAAGAAAAAAACAACTCAATGCAAAATGCCGTTTTCTCACAAAAAGCAACAGAAACTTTTGGAGACGCATTATCTTGTTGTGATGTCAGGAAGCTCTGGTGTGTCTGAGTCTGAAATGAAGACAGAAAACTAGTTCAGGTGTTATTTCTTCAAACATCTGAGCCTTCCATCTTCATGCTGTTAAATCAGCCTCCTTGATTCTGAATAAAAATCTAATTACAACCACAACTAATGCATCTACTGCTGTGTTTTTAAATGTAGGGTATTTAGTTTCTACTGGAGGGAAAAGATAAGTTCAATGTCAGAAATGTCAGAGTGCAAGACGCTAGAAAAGTCCCACGTAGGTGTTTGAATTTCCTCTTTACAGAGCTGACAAAATACTTATCGCTGTGCATCTACCACACACACACACACACACACACACACACACACACACACACGTCTGAAAATAACTAACTGATGCAATAGGTGAAACATGTTTGACTGTTGGTTTTAACAAACGTAAAAAAGAGTGCAATGACATATTAATCATCTTTGTAAAATACTCACTGTGACAGGAATCGTTGTGGTTCTGCAGAAAACCCCGGGAGAGGAAAGAGAGTGAACATCAAGTAAAAATAAATGAAATGTACGTATCTCAGCTGTGTTTTCTCCAGAAGAGTATCACCAGCTTACCTTAACTCAGAGCACACAGTGTCAGTAGTTGTCGTGCAGTTTTTCTCGATGAAATTCCCAGGTTTGCACGAGGAGCAGTTTCGACAATAAGGACCGGAGCCATCATTAAAAGTGTTGGGTTTGCATTTTGTGTGAGCGTCATCATGATACCCACCGTGGTCATTGCGGCCACAATTAGGGGTGACATCATGCCCTATTTCATGAAAATAGAAAAATAACGCAATCAAAATATTACTTAATAAATATCAACAAAATGAGTATAATATAATCATACCTGGCTTTACATCACATAGAACACACTCCTTTCCATTCCAGTAGGTGGAAGAATTCCCACACATTTCTGAGTACACCATTTCTGCAGAGCGATCTCAGAGCTTGTAGTGCGTAGTGTGAGTTTTTTTCTATTCTAACTCCCACATAAACACGCTCTCTCTCTCTCTCTCACACACACACACACACACAGAGAGAGAGAGAGAGAGAGAGAGAGAGAGAGAGAGAGAGAGAGAGAGAGAGAGAGAGAGAGAGAGAGAGAGAGAGAGAATTAGACGATATCCGAGCTTCTCAGCTTATCTTTGGTTTTTAATTTGTAGTTTATGTGAGACTGTACACAAATTCTGGAAACATTCCAGTTCTTGCATGGCCAGCATACCCACTGCACATGTCACCCTTTGAGCAGATTTGGGATGCTCTGGATTGGTACATATGACAGCATCAACAACTTCGCCCAGCTATCAAAGAGGAGTGGACCAACATTCCACAGGCCACAATCAACAACCCTGATCCAGTCTGCACCTGGTGTAAATGAGGGTCAGAAATTGGAGCAGAAACAAAGGTGTTGCATTTTTATTTTTGTTGAGTGTATATATATATATATAGGGCCAAGTGTGGCAGGGGGGAGGGGAAGCGAAGATCTATATCATCAAAAGAAGTCCCAGGAGAAGGGAGGAGTCAAAGGCCCCACCTGACATATACAGTCATACACAAACACAGTCACACACTCCCTCCCTCATGCTCACACATACACATACAACCAAAGACTTACAAAAATACACGCCGGACATCCATTCATGCTCCCCATACACACCCTGTTCACTCTGGTCCCGGTACTGCTGCACATGGGGTACAACCATTACCGGTTCCCAGAGTTCGACCCTTTCTGCTTGGGTGCTGATGAGCAGGCCTCCCCGCCCAACGCTGAGCACAGCAATCCACCACCCCAGACCCCAACCAGATGGCCGGATCTCCCTCCTAGCCTCCAGCCCCAGGAGGCCAAGCGACAACAGAGGTGTGCTAAGACCCCTAGTCTCCATCCACCTGCTCCAATATAGTGTTAGTGTGTGTTGATGAGGTGTATTCCATGGCTGTGGTGAGCGGGCAGTGCGGGTATCGTCTGGCCGATGCCAGCTGATGCCACCACTCCACCCCTCTTCCCCCCACAACCCTCAGTGTCTAAGTGCAGTTTAAAATTGGAAGTGGGCACCGGCACTCGGGAGGAGGCTGAGAAATACCCCTGCCAAATGCAGTTGAATGTGCTCACTCCCAAGGCCCTAAATGTGTGTTTATTTGGAATGTCATTGGTGGAAGTGTTTAAGGTGCAAATAAAATTGGGGGGCAGGTTGCCACAGGAATGCAGAAATGGGGTCCATACCCGGCCCGCACCCCTGACTTATCCACCCCCAATGTCCTATGTGTATGTTTGTGTGATGATGTGAGGGAGCAGGAGTAGAAAAATGTGTGGGGATGGGGAGGAATGGCTGGCTGGACTTAAGCCCTCCAGGGAGCCAGCTCCCCCACTGGCCCCAATTGGCACCTCTGTTGCCAAAATGCCACCCAGGTCATGGAGACCCCAGCCCATCCTGCCAGGGCCCAAAGCAGCAGCATTGCAGAGCTCCACAGAGTCTGAGGGAACCAACCCAGCCCCACCCCAGCAGAATGTCTACTCCCATCCCTGCATTTGCACAGCTTCCAGAATATATAAGACATAGGACATCCAGGTAAGTTTGGGTCCTCCCCCTCCTGGACATCCCCCTCCCTTGTGATGGAACAGCAGAGGAGCCAAGGTCTACCCGAGGCCCCTGAGCCAGGCACTGACGCATGTTCCCGCCTTCTTCCCGGCAGCATACATGTCAGGACCCGACCCCCAAGGCCCCGCCCAGATCCCCACATGGGGCCGCCCCCCCCCCCCCACACACACACACACCCTGAGCCCCCAGGCCCCCACCCAGACCTACCCAGGGGCAATGCAGCCACTAGGCAGAAACCCAAGGCCACCGCCAAGACCCCCTAGGGGGCCCCACGCACAACCGCCAGTAGTCCACCCCCCGAGGCAACCCAATCATTCATCCATTCACACACACATTCACATACTGATGGTGATGAGCTACACTGTAGCCACAGCTGCCCTGGGGTGCACTGACAGAGGCGATGAGCTTCAAGAGGTATATATATATATATATATATATATATATATATATATATATATATATATATATATATATAAGGTAAAATATATTTGTTTTCAATCGCATTTATTGGGCTCACCCATTTTTTTCTTAGGCCCACCCACAAATGAGTTTTTGGCTACGCCACTGGACTGTACGGATGCAATAAATGCTCCTTAATTCATTTTCGTAAAAAAAACCCATAAATAAATGTATTGTTTGTGCGAGCGAGCATCAATATGACTTAGTAAAGAACACTGCTCTTCTCTGGGGGTGGCCAGCATTTTTCTAGGGCTGGACATGGCCACCCCTTGGGGGTGCCACTGGATCTGCATCCAGTTTGAATGATTATTTGTCACCGAGTTCTCACAGTTCAGAGAGCTCCTGATTTTAAATTTTGTTTTTCTCTTACTTTGGTTGGATATTCTCTCTCTCTAGCTTCATCGGACAAAAATTCTCTCTGTTTCTTTGGAGGCTTCGCCTTTATGAACCTGCATGGATTACCATAAAAGCATAACTGCTTCTGGCAATATACGTGACTTTGAAAGACTTCAGGTCTGGAGAGGCTCAAGTTGCAAATGTGGTATTTCAATCATTCACTCTGGACAGGGTCATTTAAGCACCTACGGACTTAAGAAAATGGTTTAAGAATGTGAAAAAGTCTAGTTCCTTTAACATCAAAGCAACTGTATTTTTTAGATCTGATTGTAAACATAACTTTTAACATTGTTCTTTGGATTTATGTTTAAACATTAGTGGTAAAAACGTGGCTTTCAAAATTCCACACCCTGTTTCAATAGTTAAATGTACAAAGAAGAAATCAAAGATGTCAGCCGCTGACAGCATGAGCCACGAATAGCACAGGAAGTGATTGTGTTCCTGTCACATCTGCTCAAGTGACGAGGGTACGGAAAAATCAAGAGTCATCACTGAGAATTTAATACATATAGTAGTTCAGGTTAGATCATGTCGTGTATGAATTACTGAAACCTTCCAGCTGAAGTATCAGAAGGGGTTGGGGGTAATAATCGGAATAGAAAAACTGTTCTGCAGTTTAAGTGTCTGAGATGACAGCAGAAGGATCTGTTGTTAACTTTGTGAAAGAAGTATTGATCGTATTTTGCTAAACGTCCTGACAGAACACAAGTGGAAGCTAAAAGCAAGTAATCATCTTTTTGGGCAGAAGCCATCAGAGCTGGATGACTACACCAAAGCAAATATTCCAGTCATGGGCCTGGAGGAGTTTTGTTGTGGCCAGTCCGAGCCTGTGGTCAACATGCTTCAAAAGTATGATTTACTGATGTCTCACTGGCATTAGTGCTCAAGAATCATCCATAACCACGGTCTCTCTGGAATTATCAGTAACTACAACATGATATATCATTTACTCATACTGGATTGGTGGGCAGAATACTTCGAAGACCTCCTCAATCCCACCGACACATCTTCCAGTGAGGAAGCAGAGTCTGGGAACTTTGGGTTGGCCTCTCAAATCTCTGGTGCTAAGGTCACTGAGGTGGTTAAAAACTCCTCGGTGGCAAGGCTCCAGTGGTGGATGAGATCCGCCCGGAGTTCCTTAAGGCTCTGGATGTTGTGAGGCTGTGTTGGCTGACGTGGCTCTGCAATATCGCGTGGACATCGGGGGCAGTCCCACTGGACTGGCAGACCGGGGTGGTGGTCCCCTTATTTAAGGAGGGGGACTGCAGGGTGTGTTCCAACTACGGGGGATCACACTCCTGAGCCTTCCTGGTAAGGTCTATTTGGGGATTCTGGAGAGGAGGGTCCGTCGGATTGTAGAACCTCAGATTCATGAGGAGCAATGTGGTCCTCGTCCTGGCTGTGGAACACTGGACCAGCTCTATACCCTTAGGGGGATCCTGGAGGGTGCGTGGGAATTTGCCCAACCAGTCTACATGTGTTTTGTGGATTTGAAGAAGGCGTTTGACCGCGTCCCTCGGGGGGCCCTGTGGGGGGTACTCCGGGAGTATGGGGTACCAGGCCCTCTGATACGGGCTGTTAGGTCCCTGTATGACCGGTGTCAGAGCTTGGTCCATAATGCCGGCAGTAAGTCAGGCTCGTTCCCAGTGACAGTTGGACTCCGCCAAGGCTGCCCTCTGTCACCGATTCTGTTCATAACCTTTATGGACAGGATTTCTAGGCGCAGCCAAGGTGTGGAGGGTATCCGTTTTGGTGGCCTGAGGATGAGGTCTCGGCTTTTTGCAGATGATGTGGTCCTGTTGGCTTCTTCAGAACGTGATCTTCAGCTTTCGCTGGAGCGGTTCACAGCCGAGTGTGAAGCAGCTGGGATGAGAATCAGCTCCTCTAAATCTGAGACCATGGTCTTGATTCGGAAAAGGGTAGAATGCCTTCTCCGAGTCAGGGATGAGGTCCTGCCCCAAGTGGAGGGGTTTAAGTATCTCGGGGTCAAGAGTGAGGGAAAGATAGGGCATGAGATCAATAGGTGGATTGGTGCTGCATCTGCAGTGATGCGGGCGTTGTACCGATCTGTCGAGGTGAAGCAAGAGCTGAGTCAGAAGGCTAAGCTCTCGATTTACCGGTCGATCTACGTTCCTACCCTCACCTATGGTCATGAGCTTTAGGTAGTGACCGAAAGAACGAGATCACGGATACAAGCGGCCGAAATAAGTTATCTCTGAAGAGTGGCTGGGCTCTCCATTAGAGATAGGGTAGGAAGCTCGGACATTTGGGAGGGGCTCAGAGTAGACCCGCTGCTCCTCCACATCGAGAGGAGCCAGTTGAGGTGACTCGGGCATCTGATCAGGATGCCTCCTGGATGCCTCCCTGGTGAGGATTTCCGGGCACGTCCAACCGGGAAAAGACCTAAAGGTAGACCCAGGACACGGTGGAGGGACTATGTCTCTCACTTGGCCAGGGAACACCTTGGGATTCCCCCGGAGGAGCTGGTCCAAGTGGCTGGGGAGAGGGACGTCTGGGCCTCTCGTCTTAGGCTACTGCCACCGCGACCCGACTCTGGATAAGCAGATGAAAATGGATGGATGGATGGACTGACTGGAACTTACTGGGGCAAGATCTGTGTTTAGTTTTTATTTAGACCGTTACAAGCACATTTGCAATGATTAATTATGGTTACAACTGCAAATCACTGGAATGCCAATCCCTTCTGAAGTTAGAATATTTGAATTCATGTAAGTTATTGGTTACAAATGAAAGCAGACAGGATAGTTTAGGTCTCTGTTCTACTCTAAAGGGTACAGAGGCATTACTGCTGAAGCAGCAGGACGAAAGAGCTTAGCTCCAGCTGAAGAGGTCATTTCTCTAAAGCCTTCCTCCACTCTGCAAAGAAGGATGGCGCCTCCTCCAGGTTAGTAGGTGATATTTGGTGTGATAATAGAAAAGTGTTTTGGTTTTAAAGTTATTTCCTTTACCAAGTTTGAGTATGATTATTTACTACACCCACTGAGATCCTCCACATGTTGTTTGACAGGCTTTCCTTGTTTTTAGATTTTTTTATCAAAGCAAGAACCCTAAGAAGAACAATTATTGCTGCATCCTGTTAGCCTAGAGAACTAGACCAAATTCTTGCTTTGCAAAAATACATTTATTTTGTCTGGCTTGCCAGGCTAGCATCCTGTTGCTGGAGTTTATCCTTCTTTGGTGTATGTGGGTTCAAGAGAGGTGCCCCCCCATTTACGGCCCAGGAACTACAGAAAATGACAAAAAAATAAATAAAAACGCGTTTGTAATCAACCACAGTCCACCATGGTGGTCCGGTCTACACCCTCAGAGGAGAAGATTCAGTGAGAGTTACCCTTTAAATGTAAGTTGTAAAGATGTCTTCTACTAAAAACATTATTTAGGTTCATTTGTTTTTAAATCTTGCAGCAGTGTGTTTGTTTCCCATTGTAAACTGAAAACCTAATGAGTGTGAGTAAACAAATACATAGTTAGTCATTCTCGTTTCAACAATCAGGAAAACAAACGAATGACAGAGTCAGCTCTCATCGCTTTGGTATTTACTTCTAAAAGCTTAAATGTTCTGTGGATTCTGGTTACAGGAAGTCTTTAAAATATTTGTCACCAGGCCAGTTGCAATCTAAGATAAACTGTATGAAATACATGTGATAACACACTTGAGAAGTTCAGAATTACAGCAGTTCATGAACAAAAATCAACTTTTAGTTGTTTGTCTAAGGAGCAATGCCAAGTCCTTTCCCCCAGACAGATGCAGAAGTATCACCACTAATTGAAAACATACCAAAGACTTCTGCTGACGTTGCAGTATCCAGGAAATCCCACAAAAGCACAGCAGATAATTCTTGCCCAGGCAACACTTGGCTACTCCCGCCATGCGGTCCTGAGCTCACAGAGACCAAAACCTTTGGCGTTGTTGCTCATTGAGAGAGAACAGCCATGTTTCAAGCTTCTGACGCCATGCCCTCAGTGTTCCCAACATGGGCTCCTCCAGTCCCCTTCTTTTCACGAACAGCAGCCACCTCTCACCTGCGCACAGCAAAATATCGAGCCCTGGTAGGGAACTGGAGAAGCTTGCCAAAGCCAGAAGCAAACTCCTGGAGAGGGAAACCCACCAAACCCCCAGATTTCCCCTGAAACCAGAGAGCAGCTTCGCTATGTGTCCAAGGATGGAAAGTGTCGTGTTGACCTGCGCCACATTGATGAAAGGGGGCGTTTTTTTTGTCTGATATATTTACCTCTTTTGTGGACCTCCGATACCGCTGGTTTTATTTGTATTCATGCGGTGCTACACCATCACCTGGTTCTTGTTTGCTGGGCTCTACTACACTAATGCTTATTTCCGAGGCGACCTGGGACAAGAGCTACCTCTGGGCACAGCAGAAAACCACCTAGCAGAGCAGAACCAAAGCACTGTTACTTTGGAATAGATGGCTTCATTTCTGCTCCTCTCTTCTCCGTGGAGACACAACGTATGATCGGTTATGGGTCACGCACCGTGTCTCCCATCTGTCACAAGGGTGTGCTTCTGGTCATGATGCAGTGCATTGCTGGCTCCATGAAAGACGCTCTCATGGTGGGTTGCAGGTTTGTGAAAATAATCCGGCCTAAGAAGCGAGCCGAGACTCTTCTTTTCAGTCACACTTGTGTCATTTCCAATCGTGATGACCGGCTGTGCTTAATGCTTTGCCTGGGGGACTTGAGAGAAAGCCACATGGTAAATGCAAAAGTCAGAGCCAAGTTAATCAAGACACGCCAGACCGCTGAGGGAGAGTTTCTTCCTCTTGGGAAGACAGAGGTTGACCTCGGATACAAAAATGGGTCAGACTGACTTTTTCTTGCGGAGCCTCAAGTCATAAAGCACAATATTGATGTGAAGAGTCCACTGTGGGAGCTGGATCCAGAGCAACTTAGAGGTTATCTTGGAGGGAATTTTTGAAGCCACGGGTTGGTGCCCACTAACGAGGGTTTTTCGCACATATTGGAGGCTCCAGGCAAAATGAAAGCCTTTTCTCACAAAGAAAAACATCCAAGCCAGGCTTCGTCTTGCAAAAACACATTTGAAGTCTCCCAAAAGCATATGGGGAAAAGCGTTATGGTCTGAAACCAAGATGGAACATTTTGGCCATAATTCCAAAAAAATATGTTGGGCGCAAAAACAATACTGCACATCACCAAAAGAACTCCGTAGCTGCAGTGAAGCATGGTGGTGGCAGTATCATGCTGTCATGGGGCTGTTTTTCTTCAGCTTGAACTGGGGTCTTTATTAAGATAGAGGGAATTTGGAACAGTTCCAAATACCAGTCAGTATTGGCTAAAAACCTTCAGGCTTCTGCTAGAAAACTGAACATGAGGAGGAACTTCATCTTTCAGTATGACAACAGTCCAAAGTATACATCCAAATCAGTAATGGAATGGCTTCACCAGAAGATGATTTTGGATTTGGGTTTTAGTTTTGGAATGGCCCAGCCAGAACCCAGACCTGAATCCGATAGAAAATCTGTGGGGTGACCTGAAGAGGGCTGTACACAAGAGATGCCCTTCATGCAGTTTGACAGATTTGGAGTGTTTCTGCAAACAAGAGTGGGCAAATCTTCCAAAGAGAAAATGTGTCATGCTGATAGACTCATACCCTTAAGACTGAGTGCTTTTAGATACTAACATCTAAAATATGCTTCAAAGTATTATTTTAAGGGTGTGCAAACTTATGTAACCACATTTTACTCCACTTATCAGATCTCACACATCTCTCTCTCTTTCTCACACACACACACACACACACACACACACACACACACACACACACACACACACACACACACACACACACACACACACACACACACACACACACACACACACACACACACACACACACACACACACACACACACACACACACACACACACACACACACCAAAGGTGACAGCTCATTCTCGTGTACAACATAGAAGCAGTTTATGAAAACAGGAAATAATGCCTTTTCTACACATTTAAGAAAAATAAAAAGACACTGCTTTATTTTAAACTTTCATTTTCCTCTGAAACATGACTGAACTTATGCACACACAATCAGCCTGCAACATTAGCAGAGGATTTCTCACAACTAAACCTGGTTTAACACAAACTTTTATTCTGAAAATCAAGTCATAAGTGAGAAGATGAAATAAGATTTAAAATTCAAGTCTTATTCATCGTCGTCTTCGTCTCGTCGTCTTCGTCTTCCTCCACTTATCCGGGTCCGGGTCGCGGGGGCAGCATCCCAACTAGGGAGCTCCAGACTGTCTTCTCCCCGGCCTTCTCCGCCAGCTCCTCTGGTAGGACCCCAAGGCGTTCCCGGACCAGACTGGAGATGTAACCTCCCCAACGTGTCCTGGGTCGACCCGGGGGCCTCCTGCCAGCAGGACATGCCCGAAACACCTCCCCAGGGAGGCGTCCAGGAAGCATCCTGACCAGATGCCCAAACAACCTCAACTGACTCCTTTTGATCCGGAGGAGCAGCGGTTCTACTCTGAGTCCCTCCCGAATGTCCGAGCTCCTCACCCTATCTCTAAGGCTGAGCCCGGCCACCCTACGGAGGGAACTCATTTTGGCCGCTTGTAACCGCGATCTCGTTCTTTCGGTCATTACCCAAAGCTCATGACCATAGGTGAGGATTGGGACATAGATCGACCGGTAAATCGAGAGCCTAGCTTTCTGGCTCAGCTCCCTCTTCACCACGACAGATCGGCTCAACGTCCGCAGCACTGCAGACGCTGAACCAATCCGCCTGTCGATCTCCCGATCCCTCCTACCCTCACTCGTGAACAAGACCCCGAGATACTTAAACTCCTCCACTTGAGGTAGGACCTCTTTCCCGACCCGGAGTTGGCAAGCCACCCTTTTCCGGTCGAGAACCATGGTCTCAGATTTGAAGGTGCTGATCCTCATCCCAGCCGCTTCACACTCGGCCGCGAACCAACCCAGCAAAAGCTGAAGGTCAAAGCTGGATGAGGCTAGGAGGACCACATCATCCGCATAAAGCAGAGACGAGATTTTCCTGCCACCAAACTCGACACACTCCACACCATGGCTGCGCCTAGAAATTCTGTCCATAAAGGTAATGAACAGAGCCGGTGACAAAGGGCAGCCCTGGCGGAGTCCAACCCTCACCGGGAACCGGTCCGACAGACCTCAGTCCAACCAAACTCACGCTCCTGTGGTAAAGGGACTGAATGGCCCTTAACAGAAAGCCACCCACCCCATACTCCTGGAGCGTCCTCCACAGGGTGCCCCTGGGGACACGGTCATAAGCCTTCTCCAAATCCACAAAACACATGTCCCAAACTCCCATGCCACCTCCATCACCCTTGCAAGGGTATAGAGCTGGTCCACAGTTCCACGGCCAGGACGAAAACCACATTGCTCCTCCTCTATCTGAGATTCAACTATCGATGGGACCCTCCTCTCCAGTATCTTGGAGTAGACCTTTCCAGGGAGGCTGAGTAGTGTGATCCCCCTATAGTTGGAACACACCTTCAGGTCACCCTTCTTAAAGATGGGGACCACCACCCCAGTCTGCCACTCAGATGATACGACTACAAAGTCTATCATCGACCTGCGACCTAGGCTGCCCTGGTACCAAGTGTACCGATGGGCATCCTTATGTTCGAACATGGTGTTCGTTATGGCCAAACTGCGGCTTGCACAGAAGTCCAATAACAAAACACCACTCGAGTTCAGATCAGGCGGGCCGTTCCTCCCAATCACACCCCTCCAGGTCATGCTGTCATTGCCCACGTGAGCATTGAAGTCCCCCAGCAGGACAATGGAGTCCCCTGATGGAACACTATCTAGCACTCGTCCCAGGGACTCCAAAAAGGGTGGGTACTCTGAACTGATATTTGGCCCATAAGCGCAAACAACAGTCAGGACCCGTTCCCCGACCCGAAGGCGCAGGGAAGCTACCCTCTGGTCCCCCGGGGTAAACCCCAACACACAGGCAGAGAGTCTTGGGGCTAACAAAAAGCCAACCCCAGCCCTCCGCCTCTCACCTGGAGCAACTCCAGCAAAGGAGAGTGTCCAACCCCTCTCAAGGACTTGGGTTCCAGAGGCAATGCTATGTGTCGAGGTGAGTCCGACTATATCTAGCCGGTACCGCTCAACCTCTTCCACAAGCTCCTGCTCCTTCCTCGCCAGCGAGGTGACGTTCCATGTCCCAAAAACTAGTTTCCTTGTCTGGGGATCGGCCTTCCAAGGCTCCCGCCTCGGTCTGCCACCCCATCCACACTGCACTGGACCCTTCATGTTCCTCTTGCGGGTGGTGGGTCCACATTTGGATGAGCCAATTTATCCGGTTCGGGCTGTGTCCGGCCGGACCCCATGAGCGAAAGCCTGGCCACCAGGCGCTCGCCCACGGGCCCCAAACCCAGGCCTGACTCCAGGGTGGGACTCCGGTAACCCTCCGGGCCGGGTACTCCGACTCTTCGATTGTACATCCATGAAAGATCCTCTGAACCGTTCTTTGTCTCACCCTTCACCTAAGACCAATTTGTCATGGGAGACCCTACCAACCTAGCTCCTAGGGAGCTCAAACTCCTCCACCACAATAAGGTGACGGTTCAAGGAGGAGATTAAAGTCTTATTAGTGGTGAAATTTGTTCTCTGCATTTTAATTTCCTGCTGTACACTCCACCTCCTACACCAGTCACCCAGATCTGGGCTAACATTAGAATTTAACCATAGGCTTTATCAACTAAAATAATTTAAGCCTAGTCCTAAAAGTAGACAAGGTTTCTGCCTCACGGACTAAAGCTGGGAGCTGGTTCCACAAGAGAGGAGCCTGATAGCTAAAAGATCTGCCTCCCATCCTATTTTTAGATATTCTGGGAACCACCAGTAAACCTGCAGTCTGAGAGCAAAGTGCTCTGTGTTACAGGATGCAGGTGAGTGAAGCGGTGGTGAGGATCCAAGCGCAGGGTAAGAAGGCAGACAAGTAGACAGGAACGTTTTAAAGGTTTTATTAATAAGGAGCATGCTGGACATAGAAACAATGAATCGACAAGACACACAGAACTGAGAGGGTTTAAATACATGAGGGCTGGGAGCTTGGGTGATTGGAAAACGAGAGGCAGGTGGGAGTAATCAGAGGACACAGGACTGAACAGAGTGGGGAGACAGGACAGGGTATGACACTCGGTTAGGAACGTATGGAACAATCGGGTCACTGATGTATGATGGAGCTTGATTATTAAGAGCTTTATATGTGAGAAGGATCTTAAAATCTATTCTGAATTTAACAGGTAGCCAATGTAGGGAAGCTAAGACAGGAGAGATATGATCTCTCTTTTTAATTCTCATCAGAACTCTAGCTGCAGCATTTTGGACAAGCTGAAGACTTTTAACTACATTCTGTGGACTTCCTGAGAGTAATGAATTACAGTAATCCAGTCTTGATGTAATAAATGCATGAACTCAATTTTTTTATGGTTTGATTACCTTGAGGAGTTTTACTGTAAACTCTATCCATTCCAAGGATGCTAGGTGCGCTGCTGGGTTTATAGATCACCCTGCTGTAGGACATCTCTTCATCAAGCTCTTAGCCTGGGTAGACCTGAGCTTCAGACCGCCCCAATGGCCACTGACCTGTCAGCACTAGAGGACATTAACTATTCAGGCGGTTGATTAGCACACAGTCCATAGACAGCAACAAAACTGAGTTAGCCGTTCATCATTAAGGGTGTGGAAAATGTTTCATCAATACATGTGCAGTGGTCTATAGCAGCAGTGTTGCCCCTATAGGATCAACCGTGGCGCTACGCCACTCCACTCCTCTCCACAAACACAAGCCCGAAGGAGTGCTGTGTGGTGGAGTTGCTAATGCTAACGGTTAGCTTCTACAAGCTTAGATGTTCTCTGCTGTTTTCTGGACCAACAGCCCTCCTTGTCATGAGTCAAGATAGGTGAGTCCATGACTGTTAAGTGACAGTGTGACGTAGATCTCTCAGAATATTCCAGTTCTAAAGTTTCTCCATCCATTTTCAATAAGAAGTTAATGCAGAAGTTTGGTGTAGGAGACTTTTTTTCATGTTCAGGTATACTCTCCTGAAGAGTCATGGAGAGTAAACTGTTATCTTCATCCTCAACTCCCTTCATACCTCCTGGAAGAAAGAAAAGTCAAACTTTAGCTACACATTTGGTTTTTGTTAATGAACTTTTTTTTAAAACCTACCTCCTTCTAGGTCCTCAACTGTCTTCACTGTCGTAGCTGCTA